AAAAGTACCGTCCTTAGTTGTCAGATTTGGGAGAAAGTGAAGGGCTCGTGATTCTGTGCGGCTTATCTGTATCGCTGGTCTTGTGTACGACCGTTGACATTTCCTTTGACCTTTTTATGTAAGCAGATCCGACGGTCCGTGTTTGGGGTACTTGTACGACTTTAAACTGTGGTGGTGAAACTCGGAGGATTTGGATCCTTTCCGAGGTAATTGGTCGGGATCCTCCTAACAGGTGTCTGTAGACCATTAGATTTTTATCTAACGGCTATAATTATTATAACTTTTAAAGGGTTCCATGTTTGTAGTCGTTAGATGAAAATCCAACGGCTCACAAACACCAGTCAGAGGATCCCGACCAATTGTCTTAGAGAGGATCCAAATCCAAACTCGGATAACAAAAATTCTTTGGTGCTCCGAGTACTGTAGCTGTTTTAACCGTTAGATTTTGATTTTCGCATTTTAAAATAAAGATCTAACGGTTAAAACACTCTGAGTACCGGTTATCCCAGAATTTCATCCAAGAAAAACTTAAACAGGACAACTAGTTAGTCAAGTCATTCTCACAAAGAGTGGGACGATGTGCATTTGAGATTGTATTTACGCAGGATGGGATGGTAACCAAATGTAGAGATACGTTGCCTTTGGAAGTGACCATCCAATTCATCAAGTTGTACTGAAATTAAATTTCTCTTTTATTAAGGTCATGGTTGAAAAATTCAATGTCTTTCTTAATTAAGCCCGGCAGTAGATTTCTAATTTAAAGGCTAATGGACACGTATATGTTGTATTATTGTACCAGTTATTGTCCAAATTGCTTGTGAAACAAAAAAGTGTCGGTAAGGGTGGAGTGATCCAGCCATTCATAGCCATTCATAGTTATGAGACTCACAAAGCAAAAACAACCAAGATCAGTCATGCGAGCGACTGTTTCTAGCACTTCTCATGTCATAAAGTTATAGCTAGAGTATTTTGTCTTTTGGAGAAAATTGTATCATTTCGAGTTTAGAGGGGTCGTACCCAGTGCACAAGGCTCCCGCTTTACGCAGGGTCTGGGAGAGGTGAATGTCTTCCGTGACAAAATCAATAGCGACAATTTCTGTATGTTGCAAAACAGAACCTGGACTGTCACAAGACAATTACAACACCAACATATAGTCTTCAAATCCATGTCTCCTACACAAACACACTGGTATATTTATGTATTTTTTGTATGACTGGTATTGCACATATGCACTGAAATCGAAGATTACACTTCGATTTCCCTCAGACGGAGTGGTTCGTTGAAAAATGCTCTGTTTACAATACATCACTTGTACAACAAGGACCGATAAATGGATAAAATACTTTGAGAGCAAGTTCTCCGTAGCTGGCTGCAGGAGACTTCGTTTTATCTTTTAGGAAACAAGATACTGTCAATGAAGCCAACTGACCTTCCTCTATTACCGTCGTTGGAGGGCATTGTATGCCGTAGTTCATTATCTGTCATCAGGAGGCAGCGTCGGGCTTTTGGAGCACATTCTCATCGCATGAAGCTCTCTCAGCCTAATGACTGGGTTGCACAAACCTACAAGTTTTCAAGATTTTTCTCACATCACTGCATCTTACAGATAAACACACGTTTCAAAACATTTCTATTTCTGACTAAGGTCAACACAGTACACGTAGAAGAAGCCACGCGGTCTGTTCAAAACTATCAGAAACGTTATTTCTTTAACAATCAAATTCTTTGGTAAACAAGACATTTAGTGCTTTTCATTTGCTATGTTCAAGACTCGAGTTCTGGTATTACTTATCACAAACGCCAGAAAGGTCATCCTCACTCAACTTGAAAACATTTTATTCTTTGAACGTAAGAATATGGTCTTATCAAATTTAGCATAAGAAGAATTATCGCACCAGTTTTCTTATTAAAGGTAACAAAAGCCTCCGTCTATGTACATGATCATACCAGAAATCAACCATTGGTCTCTCAGTATAACTAGGAACTATCTTTAAATATTTGTGACGAACAATATGATCTGTTGGATAAAGTACCTGAACATTTTGGGATGTCCCACACTGCAATGGATGTGAGTGTGCAACGAGGGTCGCATAATGCCCGATTATCCTCATGATTGACATTCATAGCAAGCATCCATGATCCAATCGTGACGTCCTCATTGCTAAACATTCTCAAACTGAAAGCCAGGAAATACATCTATCAAACAAAGGGACGTCCATAGGAAATGAGAAGCTAAAACTAAAGCCTAAGCGATATTTCACTTGGAGGTTCTAAAATTCAATATATAACTTATTGAAACGAGGCAAAAGCTGACAATTGAAAGAAACAATGGCTAACATAAAGAAAAACGAATAAAAAACAGGTGGCTGACCTGTTATTTCTAGCGACTGCTAATGAAGCTACCACCTCTGCAGACAGAACATAAATAGGACCAAAAGCATGCTGAAAGTATTCATTCCCAATTAGATGTCCTGATTTCTCATACCTGAACAATAAACAGACAGTTGATGAATTACGACAGATTATTACAAAAAATGTTAACCGAGCACAAAGGTAAACAATCTGGGACAACAAGTTGAAAAACAACAAACCATTTCATTTTAGGGTCAGTGACTACTGGTCCTTTCTTCATGCATCCAATGTAGGTTTGTGGATGTGTTCGTTCCTTGGCTAGAAGCATGGCTAGTCGATCTGAAAAATTACGGAAACATCAGTAAATTCCAATGTATTCATATTCACGGCTTCATGACAGCGTATAGCCTGGCACTATAATATATACCTGGACGCAAATAAATGTCATCATTGGCTTTGACATAGTAATCTGCTTCGAAAAGTTGAAATGCTGCTTTGAAAAATGCCAACCTGCGAAACAGCGAGATTAAGCAATATGACATGAACTGCCAAGAACACGAATCCGTCATCGACATGACAAAAACTTCAATAAAAACCGATGACTCTTACGTTTTCCACGGAAGGTTTAAATATTCTTCATTGCTATCAATAACCAAAAAGTCTCTGTTCTTATCGATCTCCTTCTGAAGCTCCGCCATCTTCTTTGCATCTTTCGATCGCCCGATAACGAACCTAAATGCTAAACCAGTGGCCTGTTCCAACCTACAAGATAATGTTACAAATTTACTCTCCCAATATAAGGAGCTAAATGACATTCTAATCAGAGCCAGATTGTTGATCTTAATCTTAGTTAATCTAATCAAAATCATTGCTAAGTTATTGATCATACAAAACCCAGAAGTGCTATCACACAAGTGCACATAAACTATAAATTTAGTAACTTAACAAAATTTGATAAAAACCAACATCAGATCAACTGCAAAATTTAGTAACTTTACTGCAAAAAGCTGAAATTTACCTCAAAAAGCCATCTGGGTCGGAAGGAAACCAAGTGTTCCGCAACGCTGCACGGCGATCGGCCGAGCCAAACCCGGTCTGAATTCCGACGAACCCAAGAAGCTTGGGCCGATCAACCAAGCCACCATTTTTATCACCGATCTGCCGAGACTTCGACAGAGAGTAGAACCCCCGGAATGTGTCGTCCGATTTTCCGCATCGGAAAATGGGAATGGGGGTCGGGCGGCGGAAGGCGGCGACGGCGAAGATGGTTCCTGCGAGGCCGATAAAGAGGGAGACGAGTGAAAAGACGATAATGGGCAGGGGAGTGCGGGTGGGGACAGGGGCAGGATGGGGCTTTAGGGGCTTGAGGAGCTTGGAGGAGTAGGAGGGCGAGGTGGCGGTGGCGGTGGCGGTGGCGGTGGGCAGAGAAGATTGGCGGTGGAAAAAGAGTGGCATTTTTGTCACTTCTCACAGTGTTTGCGTGTGAAGTGTCCTGATCTCATGGTGGGTGAAGAGTGAGACTCAAGTCAAATCTATTCAGCCGCAAAGTCTGACAATTTGTGTGAGACGTCCCTTTTTTTGTTGATAATGTATCAATGCCACACATTATTGACATGAATTCTCTATGCAAGCCGTCTTTTAACAAAATACAGAGTTTATAATAATATTATGGATGATGTAACAATGACAATCAACATCGACATGTTAATTGTTTGACATATCAAATGAAACATTAATTGAAATCTGCCTAGAAATACAAAAACAACAATAATAAAGCTTTTTCCTACTAAGTGAAGCCGGTTATATGAATCTTAGAACTTCATTGCGCTCGGTTCTGTGTCATGTCCTCCGTTAGATTCAAATACTCTAAGTCTTTTCTTAGAGTCTATTCCAAAGTTTTCCTAGGTCTTCATCTACCCATTCGACTCTAGACCTCTGTCATGTAGTCGCATCTTCTAACTGGAGCGTCAGTAGGCCTTCTTTGCACATGTCCAAACCACTGTAACCGATTTTCTCTCACATTTCCTTCAATTTCAGCTACTCCTACTTTACCTCGGATATCCTCATTCCTAATCTTATCATTTCTCGGAATGAGGATATCCAAGTTAAAGTAGGAGTAACCAAAATAAATACTGAAATGCTGAAATGATTACATTTTAGTATTTGATCAATATGTTATGAATACTTGGTTTCATCAGTTCTACCAATTGAGATTTGTAAATTCATCTTAGCCAATTCTCTAATGTTCATTAATTAAAAACAAGATAAGTTAAACTGTTTTAAGAATCACTAGATTAGTGATCGTGACACATAGTTTGGACTGAAAGTTGATTAAAAAAATCAATTTTTAATTGCATTAGAGACACTTTCTTTTGTTTCATTGTTATAAGTGTGACAAAGATGAGAATATTGACACTTTGTTTAACCAACATCGGCAAAATAAGTGTAAAGCAAAGGAGGTGCTTCGTTGGATGTGTACACAAAAAATTATATGATTAAAAACAAAGATATATAAAGTAAGATAAGAGTAACCGTAATTGAAGATAAGATGATAGAAAATCAGCCAAGGTGACTTGACACAAAATCCAACGCAGTAGCGTTCTAAAAAATTCATACAACCGATTGTACCTAGTAGGATAAGGTTTGATTGTTGACAAAAGTAATGGGAGATTTTATATTTTATTTGAGCCATCACAATCCGAATGAGTACAACTAACTCTTCCCTATCACAGAAACAAGCGGAAAGAATTTCAATTTCACTTGGAATGCTAAAACATTAACCCTCCCCAAAAAAATAAGAAACTAATTAAGCCCAAATTGCAAGTAATGACATCAATCCAGCTCCAACAAAGAGACAGCAATAAGATACAAGTTGAAGCCTGAAATTGCAGCTCATCCTCTTACTCAAAAAATCAGCAGCAATTAGGTCAACCAACGCCATGTACACTAGAATTCCGGCGGACATGGAATCCAAGATGCCCTCGGTGACCAAAGCTCCCGCACTGTCCGGGTTGTAGAACGAAGAAATGGCGATCCCAACGCCTATCCCAAGCGGGGTTGTGACGGCGAAAAAACAGGCCATTAGGGTTGTTGCTAGGGTCTTGAATTGGGCTTGAGATATGCAGCCTCCAAGTGCAAAACCTTCAAAGAACTGATGGAATGACAATGCTGCAACCAAGGGTCTTATGGTGCATGGGCTCTGTGAAACTCCCAGTGATAGGCCTATGATCACTGAATGTGATACAATCCCAAGTTCCAAAATCTGCACAAGAAACAATATATTAAACGCCGCAATAACAATAACCCATCCGCAAGCATGAATGTCCAGATCAACCAACGAGCGCTATTGATCCTAAAGTTTACTAAACAAGGTGAAATTTCAATAACTTGTACTCCAAAATAGTACGACGACCCAACATTTCAGATAAATATATGTTATATTATTTCCCAGTCTAGCTCAGCTCATGAACATTCCAATCTCAAGTTCTCGACTGCCCACACCCTTCGAAATGGATGGCATCGGCACGAAAAAGTTTAACATGTTTAATCAACTTAATAGTATTAACTTTTAAATTCAAAATTCCCTTCTTCATTTTTATTTCTCTTACTTTTTTCGATTGTTCCTACTTTTGATAAAAGAAAATATCAAGAGTTTGCCAAAAAAAAAGAAAAAATAAAAAAATGTCGAGATCAATGCCATATGCGCTTCGACATTCATATCTAATAATGAAGTGTCACGTTCAATTGCTCATATCCCGTGTAGGCGCATAAGCGATTGATCGTGTCACTTCACTTAGAGAGACAACTTATCCAAATCAATCCCAATAGTGAAAGTTGTCACCATAACCACAAAGGTTCATGTCGACCCTTCAATTCAAGTATTGCGTCTTTTGACCCTCCAAGAACATCATTATCATAAGTACGCCCCACTCGACCAAGTTAGTGGGTAATTTAACACAACACGTGGCAGCAGAATGACGCATAATTTTTATCCACTGTGCGAAGTAGACTAGCATAACTCCGACTAGCATAACCAAAACCACAAAGTTATAAAAGCTACATTCTTTTCAGGACCTTAAATTAAAGAGCAATAATTTACGCGCAAACAACAAAAAGTAAGGCGGTAAAATAAATATAAAATAAATAAAAATAAAACCGAAATAAAGCGAATACGTATCAATGAAATTTGATTCAACATCTGAAGTTATTATAATTTTTAAGTAATTATCTGTTTGTAACTGTTTCATCAAATTTTAATGACACGAATTTCCCGATTAGGAGAAAAGAATGCGGAGAGGATGCCTTTCCAATAAAAAGTACCTGAGAAACGACCACGTGGCGGACACCACCGTCCTCGTCATCATCCCCGAACCCGTGAGAATGCCCATGCCCGTGCCCGTGCGAATCGTGCCCGTGTTCCGGTTCGGATTCCCTCGTCACGTGCCCATCACATCCGGCCTGGCCGTGCGCGTGGCTGTGTCCGTGGTGCGCCGCGTGCGCATGCATCCCAACAATGTGCATCCCACCGCCTTCCTCTTCCCCAAACACCTTCCCATTCAACTCCCTCGCCGGATGTTCGGGACCCGTACCCGCCTCAATCTCCGGGTCATCCGACGCGACCCGCACCTGGTCCTCGGCGGGGCGAGTCTTCCCCTGTTTCCTCTCGTAATACTGGGTCCCAACAAAGTCGACGAGCAACGTGGCAAGCGAGGCCATCATGGCGAAAAATCCCGAGAAGGGGAACTTGGTCCAGGGGTATTCCGGCAGGCACGGGTCGTTCAGGGCGGCCGACCCGTCCGGGAGCATGTGGACAAACCCGGTGGCAAGAATTACCCCGGCGGCGAAGGCCTTGGCGGCAACGAAGAGGCTACCGTCGGTGCGGAGAAAGCTGCGGTTCTTACCGACGAGGGGAATTGCGACTCCGACGACTCCGGCCAGGAGAATCGAAGCGACAGCGATTAGCTTGAGGACGAAAGCCGACGACTCGTTGCGGCAGGCCTCGATCTCCGCGCTCCCGCAGCTCGTGTTGGCCATGGACTGCAAAAGGGACTCTGTTTTGAGCGCCCAAATGAAAAACAGAACCGCAAAAACAAAGCAGATTTCAGAAAAATCGAGACCTGTTCTTGTTCTTCAATTAGCTGATTTGGTTTTAATCTTAGCTTTAATTCGATTGCAGAAATCCCAATTGGGATTTTCAGAGTGGGGGATGAAATTAATGAGTAATTACCTTTGAAAAGCCGAGATTTTTCTAGGAAACCTGGAGGGCTGAGCCAGGGCCAAAGATCCTGCACAGAAAACGCAGCGTTTCAGTCAGAGAATTGCAGAGAAATCGGGAAATCGAGAGAGAGAGAGAGAGAGATAGAGAGAGCGAACCTCAACGAATGACATGGGATTATAAAAGATGGAATCTTGTGAAAATTGATGATCTGATCGACGAACACGAATCCCGATTGAGTTGATTTATTTTGATCCGGCGGAGGATACGAGTGCGGTCATGGCGTGTTGGGAAGAGTGTAGAGAAAGAGAGAAGAAGAAGAGATTTGATGGAGAAAGAGTGTCGACATTTTTTGACGAAGGGGAGGAGCGTGGGACGGTGAAGGGGCTGGGATTGCGACTTTTTGCTAAACTATGAGCGCGAGAGTGTCGACATTTTCCCCGCATTTTAGTTCATCATGTAATGTGATGTATAGTTATTATCTTATTTATTATTGTTAAATAAATTTGAATTTTAAGATTCGTGTATTGAATAAGTATAAATCTAAAAATTCAAACTCGTTTAATGATAATAAATAAAACGATAAGCATATACCACATTAAACGAGGGTGAACAAAAAGGTTGAGATTTCTACTTTTTTAAGTTTTAAGCGAAAAGGCAGGAGTAACTAGTAACGTAATGGAAAAGGTAATGACTTGCCGTATATAGAATATTAGAAAATGATTTGTCAGTTTGGGTTCTTTTACAAATCATTTTGGGTTCCGTCGAATGTCGCCATTGGAGTCACATTTTGTTTTTTCGCATTTTTTAAAGGGGTTTTTTGATCGACTCACTTTACAGGGGTTATAACTGCTCACTTGTTATATAGCTCAAGTTTATATGTCTCGTTTTAGAACGTAGAATATTGTGGTATGTAAAAAATGGCTATGTTTTGCTTGAATTTCTATTTTGAGCTCTATGAAAATTTACAAAAATTCAGATGAATTTAATTCAAATTTAAAGGGTTTTAAAGTTCAGGTGTACTCTACGCAAATTTGATTTGAAAAGATATTTATGTGTTATGAATTTTGGTAAATTTTTGAAGCGTACATTTTTGTTCACCGCTTTTACATGATGCCGTTGGATTAGTTTATATTTTGAGATATGTGTTTATCTACAACATAGATCTTAAAATTTAAATTTATCTAACGATAATAAATAGGATGGTGAGCAATATCATCACTTAGTGTTTGGGCCCAAAATAACAGTTTGGGCCGAGTGTAGGGTCATTCTCGGCCCGGAAGGTCTTGGGACAAGAATACCATGGATCGTTCAGTACGTGGGCCTCCAAACCTAGGTCGGCTAGGTCATAACGCAAGAGGTCGAATCCTAGTGCAATAGGGAGTCTCGGCAGGACCCGGAAGTGAATCCAGCTCAGTTAGGGACTAGGTTCACAGTCCTAGTGAAGGTAGGACTGGTCGAGTTGATGCTGATCAGGGGAAGAAAACCTAGTCCGAGTAGGTTTTTGACTCGACCTTGGGGGGAGCCATTGCTATAAATAGAAGAGGTTGCACATCCTTCAAACCCCCTGCAAATCAATACAAAATTACCCTGCGCAAATTCTCACAACTTTGTGATTTTTCTTTTTCCTTTTTCGCTGACACATCTTCCGTTGGCATCAACAACACTGTGGAAGCAACCGGTGATATCTTAAGTCGGCATAGATAGCTCTGTCACCGTAGAGTTAATCGGTCTCGCAGTATCTTCCGTTGGCATCAACAGCACTGCGGCGAGAACGGTTGATTACCTACCCAAGTCCCGGTCGAGAAGGGTTTCTAAATCCTTATTGGTCGAGGTTATCTCATCAGCCTTCTCGGCGAAGTGAGGTGTTACAGTTATTACATTCGGTACATTGAAAGCCGAATTTGATATTGAACTTCGTAAGAATAGTAACCTTGTCTTCAGGTTTGAGAGCCCAAGAGGCCGAGACGTGTTCCTTTCTCGGCTGCAATCGCAAGACGCAGAAGTCAGTAGCGCGACCCAACGCAACATCAACAAATTTACTCCTCGGCCGAGCTCGGCCGACGAGTTGGCACGCCCCGCATTCACCGAAGGACGTAGTTAGCTCATTAATTACTCGGCCTGCGCGTCACGTAGGCTTTGTAGTTTCTAGGGTCAACATTTTGGCACGCCTGGTGGGACCCAGTGCTAAACTACGAAGTTCATGCCAATTGAAACACGATCGGTAAAAAAGAAAACAGCTATGGGAAAGTCGACAGCCGATTTGCCGAGTCAGAGCATAGGACAGAGTGTGCCACAGGCGCAGAATCCCCTTAGCGCTGGTACGCCTGAGTCCACGAGCGCGACTCGCCGAGAGAGAGAAGTTAATCTCGGCGGTCAACTCCGTGGTTCAGAGATCCCTAACAAAAACACATGCGTTCTCAATGAAGGGAAAGTAGAGGAGTGTGACGATGATGGTGGTGAAGGATCTGACCCACCAACGAGGTCGTTTCTCCGAAAGCGACTAGACGAGCAATCTCGGTCAGTCGAGCAGACGTTCAGTCGAGGCATTGACAAGCTGCATGACGCGATACTCAGTTCCAATGATCGACAAACCAGGTTGCTCGAAATGCTGGTTAGTAAAGTTGGTGGCAGTAGGCCTTTCAAGCTTCTCCAAAATTGTCCACCAGGAAACAACCCGGTACCGATTGTACCGGCCGAGCCTATTCCTGCTCCGCTCAAACCAATTAACTTGGAAAAATGAGGAGGGTCGAATAGTAGGTCAGACGGAACCGACCAGAGGATCGAAGCAACACCTGTTGATATGACCGAAGTTCAGCGGATGATCGACTCGGCCATGAAGAAAGGGCCGAAGTTTCCCAAGTTTATTCATCCGTACCCAGCTTACGTGGAAACGTTTGGATACCCGAAGGGTTTCAAGATCCCAGATTTTAGTCTTTTTGCCGGTGAATCGTCCCTGTCTTCGTTGGAGCACGTGGCTCGTTTCACCGCGCAATGCGGAGATGTTAATAGTGATTTCCACAAGTTACGGCTGTTCAATTTTTCATTGACCGGCTCGGCATTTGCCTGGTACATCAATCTCCCTCCTAATTCCGTCCAAAACTGGGAGGAGTTGGTCGAGAAGTTCCACGAGCAGTTTTATCGGCCGGGGATGGAGATGTCAGTCTCTTCATTGGCACGGATGGCTCATGCATCTGATGAGTCACCAATGGATTATCTTACTAGGTTTAAATCAGCTAGGAATTGGTGCCGAGTGCCTTTACCCGAAGTCGAATTTGTCAGGCTTGCTTTGAACGGCCTCGACGTCGAATACAAAAAGAAATTCTTGGGGGCAAAATTTTCGGGATATGTACGAATTAGCCCAACATGTCGAGCAGTATGATTATTTGCTCCGCGAGGAAAAGACTTCGAAGACTCCAACTCGGGGAACGATTTACAAGAACCCTACTGTCAATTATGCATCAACCGAGGATGAATGTGTTAGTGTGGATGCGGCTGAGATAGTGATAGATAAGCCATACGTTTGCAAGGCATTGACTCAGGTTGATTCTAGAGAAGCCAAAAGTCGCTCGGCCACTGAAGGAACATTGAAACCGTCAAAGGTTTATACTTTTGATCAAGGAAGAAAATATCGGTAATATCGGAAATATCGGTAGTCCGAAAACACGGAAATATCGATGGAAATATCGGGATAATATCGATATCGATAAAAATTACATGGAAACCACGGAAATTGTAAGAAAAACTTGGAAATTTTTATTGAAACTTTGCAGGATGTTTATTTAGTCAATTATCTATTAGTTTATCACAAAAAATTGGAAGGAAATGCATTGCATGATGGATTTAACTGATTTAAGTTGATTATATAGCGAGTTGGCAAACATTGTGAGTGTAGAAAATATGTAGTAATTAATGAAAGAAGTTTAAACACACCAATTGGGGCTTATTGCGGCAAGTTTTTTAGATATGACATCGCATCAAGTCGTCTTTTGTGTTAATTTGTAATCTTAACTGGTTAAATTAAGCGGTACATCCAATTGGGGCTTATAAACATTTTAATTCTCTTTAAAAATCCAAGGGCATTTAATAAGGATTTTAAGTGATTCTTTATAGTTTAAAGGGTATTCGATCATGATTTTTAAGAAATTCATACATTCCAAATGTATTCATTTAGAAATTGATTCGAAGAGATTTTTAAAAAGTTGGGAAACTCGAAAAAATTAGAAATATTTCACATAATATTTTAAACATTCTCAAATCGCTTCCTGAAAATTTGAGGGAATTCACTTAAAATTTTACATAAAAGTTTTAAAAATTATTAAACTTCATCAAAATTCATAAATTTTTAAATCTATTATAATCCTTTAAAATCTGAATGGAGTAAAAAATTCAAATCTAAACCTAGTATGAAACAATCACTAAATTACATAAAATTTCTAAACCAAATCTAATAATGATCAATTACAATTCTAATATTGTAATTACTTGGAGTTTTTTAGGGCAATTTAAGTAGATGATTTGGGGGCCGAAACTTGGTTAAATCCCTAAATTGCTAATTGAAACGAGAAAGAAGAGAAGACAGAGAGAGCGAGAGGCTCCCCGTCTTCCTTTGTGCTAGTAATCCATGGCGTCAACGAGTCAACATCCCTCATCCTCATCGCCCTCCTCTCCCTCTTCACAATCTTCACCACCGCATCAAGGCCCTGCAAAACCCTCTTCGTTTCCTCCTACTCATTCTCCCTCCGCCGCCTCCCCTCCTCCTCTTCCTCCTTCGGCTTCGTCACCATCGTCACCGAGATCAGCCAGATCCGCCCCGTCCACCTCCACCCCACCCGCTTCGACGACGGCTTCGTCCCACACCCTCACCACCACGACGCCAGCGAGAAGCGAACATCGGCACCCATTCTCCTCCTCCCCCCAGAGCCTGCCCCGCCGGCGCCGCGCTCGCCTCCGTCTCCGTTCCGCGTCTGCTTCAACCCAAGATCAGCCAGATCCCTCTTCGTTTCCTCCTACTCATTCTCCCTCCGCCACCTCCCCTCCTCTTCTTCCTCCTTCGGCTTCGTCACCATCGTCACCGAGATCAGCCAGATCGGCGTCGTTGAGGCGCAGATCTTGGGTTTGAGCATGGATTGCAGAGAGATCTGGGCAGCTGGGGGGACGACGCAGCCTCTGCTACCTTTCCGACGACGGATCAACGACGATTTTTTCGATAATATCGAAAATATCGCGATATTATCGATATTATCGATAATATCGCGATATTTTGACGATAATGAGACGGATACCTCAGAAAATATCGGAACCTCAGATAAACGATAATAACGGCGAAATATCGCCGATATTATCGATATTTAATTCCATGCTTTTGATATTACCAAGGCTGACGCAATTTTTGACCAACTGTTATCAGCAAGAATCCTTCGGCCTGGTCATAACATTCCTAAGGCCGAAGAACTTAAAGGAAAGGTGTATTGCAAATACCACAATTCGAGCAAACATACGACAAACAATTGTGTTGTATTTCGCGATAACGTCCAAAGCTGGATTGATAATGGCAAACTGAAGTTTCCCGAGAAGAGGATGAGTGTTGATACTGATCCGTTCCCCACGGCAACAGTAAATATGGTCGACGCGTACCTACCCAAGGACAAAGGGAAAGGCAAAGCCGAAGTGGTTGAGACGCAACGCCCGCGGAGTCAGAATTGTCGGCCACAGTTCATGGCTGATTTTCGTTCAAACAAGCCACATACGGCTTTAACGGGGCCTGCTATTGTCAAACCTATGATGGATTATAACACCGATGAAGATAGTGGGGCGGCGGTTTTGTGCGGGAAATGTAGAGCGAAGGTCGACAGTGAACCAGAGGAGAAGCCCTCTTCGCAACTTGTGGCCACAACTCGGCCAAAGGTAGCCAATGAAGGCCAACATCACGGGGTTTTTGAGAGGCTCGGTCCTAAAGTACGGATGGAAGAGACACCCCCGGTCAGGCGGCGCCTCGATTTTGATGCTTCATTCTATGACGATGATTACTATAAGCGTAATTCTAGCAGTTCAGAATCATCGCGGAGCCAAAAGACCTTCAAGCCTCCCGAGCCTAGAGATCAACGTTGGTATACATACCATTCTTCGAAGGGCGTCTACACCGCGTTGTCCAAATCTCAGAAACGCCAGCATCAACGGATAGATTGCATGGCTCGCCGACGAGCAGCCTAGGAAACTTTGGCCCCTAAGTGGCGGCCGAAGGACACAGCTGCCACTAATGATGAACGACCACCTCCAGCAATTATGACAGAGTTGGCTCAGGGGAAACGGCTGGTCGATCAAGATGTCGAGACCATGTTTGAAGAAGCTGATAAACGAATCAAACTTCTCATTCGACCAGGGGAGATGAAGGCACGCCTTGAACATTTCAGGCAAGAGGCCGAAAGCAAATTATACCCGCCGGCTATACAAGAACCTTTGGTCAAGATTCGACGGAATTTGCATCCCCCGTTCCTTAGGGAGTCTTTGGAGTATATGCGAGAATTTCATAAGAAACATTCGGCCAACGATCTGTATGGTTTGCCGAAGGCATGCCAGGACACCATTGATCTGGTCCTGACTTGTCCGGATGCTGAACGGATCATCTAGAAGACCTTAGATCCAGGATTGAAAGCAAGGTTCCAGCACATCCGAGAAGCTCGTGTCCTTGGATTTGAAGTCGACCCGTACACCGATATCAATGCAACCGACCTTCCTTTCTCGCTGGAGGACCTTCAATATTTGCGATATCACTTTGAAGTATTTTCAGCGGTTTCTCTCTTCGGCCTTACGACCGATGAAATCGCACGTATTGCCCGTCTGGATGCTTATCTCGACACTAGGGATGCTCGGCTACATTACCAGGAGCAGGTTCAGGTCCTGATCCTGATCCCAAGTACACTGTCAATCTCAACCTTACCTGAGGCGGTCACGCAGAACCAACCTGTCGCCGAAGCAGCTCCGCCGGTTGACGTCATTGAAGAAGGGACAGAAGAGTCTCGTTGTCCGACTTTGACGACAACTGAATCCGTAGTCGCCGACCAACCGAATGAGGAGGGTCTTGACCAGATGGGCCCGTCAGTCCTGGATAATATGGAAATCAGTATGGTCTATGTGTTACCTGCCAATTTTCAATCAAGCACGGCTCAACCAAATTTCCTCGATGGAGATGTAGTTGCCGAGGAACCCGGCCATGTTGATTTTGTATCGATTGCTGAAGGTGAATCAACAGCAAAAGATGATAGTCTAAAGGCCGCTTTGGCCGAATTGTTCCCTCGTTCATCGTCGGCCAAGCTTCACCATTTGAAGCCATTGTATGTGACGGCCCACATCGAGGGGTATCCAGTTTCTAAAGTTTTTGTTGATTGTGGAGCTACCGTCAATATCATGCCTCTGAACATCATGAAGGCCTTACGCCGTTCAAATGACGAGCTTATTCCGTCAGGAATCACCATGAGTAGTTTTGTCGGCAATATTCACAGTTAACGGAAGTACACCTTTGGTGTGGGATCGAGGGGTATCCAGTTTCTAAAGTCTTATTTAATATTCACAGTTTTGTCGGCAATATTCACAGTTAACGGAAGTACACCTTCGGCGTCCTCCTCCGTGATGCGAGAATTACTTGACACACAAAATTAAACCCTCTTTTTGACAATTGTAGTATAGATGTAAGTAGGGTATCGTTCTAGGCCGGGGATTAGGAGGGATTGCTAATCTATTAAATTAACATAAAAATATTAAATAAGACTCAAGGACACAAAACTAGGCTAAAAACTCTAATAACTCGAAACACACTTAAAATGACTCAAAATAATGAAAACAATTAAATTAAACACTAGGAACTGAAATGGACGGAAATTAAATTAAAAGACTAACAATAAAGAAAACTAAATAAATAATATAATTTAATAATGGATGGGTGTTTGGTTTTGATGAAAAGTAAATTAAACTTAATTAAATTACAGAATTGACAAAAACATGAAATTAAGGTGAAAGGATAAATGACGGACTAGCTAGAGGGTTCTTTCTCCACACATGACACATATGCAACCTAAATTGATTTTCAGTTGTTCTTTCAATAAATTGTGAATCTCAATACTCCAGATTAACCGTGAACAGCACTTTTTTAATCTTCAAGTTTTCCTTAAGTTATTGAATTGGACGGAAAAACGCATACAACAATTCAAAACATTCTTCAAAAGTCCCCTACGTGAAAAGCACAATAGCGATACAATCAAAGATCATTAAACTTTGTGAAAACTATAAGCATCGACGAGGCATTCGTAACTATGAAAAGCATGATACTTTTGCCAAGAATTTACTTAACGTGATTGTGACTAGCAACCTTTACTACTTGTGAAAATAAGTTCATAACGATTAGGTGAAATTCACTTATATTCTAACATCAAATTCATGCATGTAAATTAAGCGTGCACTCTCAACCAACATACACAAATCAGTTTTTATACGAACGGCTAAGTAAATTGAAATCACAACTTATGAAATCACAACCGAAGGTAATCAATTCATATTACAAATATATTCATGGTTTCGAATTAACCTCTAGCCAAAATAAAATTAATTACACATTATTAAAATAAAAATAAAATAGGAGTTTGGAAAGATTAAACCGAAAGAAAGGATCTGCTGCTTGGACTCTGAACTGCATGGACTCTGAACTGCATTTTCATGCTGACCTCCTGTCCTCCTCGCCACTGACTTCCCTTCCTCAAGCTGCCCAATGGCAGCACTCTCCTCTCGGTCCTCTTCCTGCGTCTCTGCGAGCTGCCCTCCTTCTTTCTGTTTTCCTGTGCTGTCTGACCTCACTGCCAAAGGACAGCGTTATTCCCCCCGTGTCTCTATCTCACGCTGCTTTAAAGCAGCCTCTCCCTGCCTTTTATTTTATTCTTTCCCTCTCTGGCAGCCTTGCTGCCCTCAATTCTGTCGGTCTTCACAGCTTTCCACCTGCAAGGGCCCGCATCAATCCCTTCTATCTCTCCTCTTGTTCCAAAATTATTCCCCCAGCTGTCTCCCTATTTTTCTTTTCTGACCTTTTACTTTTCTTCCGCTGGCAGCCTACCTTCTTGGATTCTCCTTTCACAATATAATACAAAATTGATTTGTATCATAAACTTTAAATTAGTAGCAGTTTGGGAATTAAGAACAAATTCAAGTAACAAATCCAAAACCAATATTCTATGAAACAATCAATTCAATGCATATAAAATAAACCAAAATAAAACCCAATCCAAAAATAAAATCAATATTCTTTCTGTTTATTATTTAAAACTCATTTATGCTATTTTTATTTTCTTTGCATAACAAATCCTATAAACACAAAAATAACATAAATAGCTCAAAAATATAAGGAACTAACTAAGAAAAGACGAGTGAATTCGAAGTAAAAATATATATAAATATGATCCGATCACTCCGCGCCCCACGTAGAGGTAGGCAGCCTGATGGAGGAAGGATAGTCTTGACGACGACATATCAGGAACTCGTCGTTGGAGAAGTCGTCGAGAGCGAAGAGGTACCGAAATACCTCTTCGGCTTGATGAGGAGGTGTTGGTCGGGAAGCCAGCTGAGGTCCAAGAGCCTCCGTTGGTGAGAAGTCAGCTATGGCCGATCGAAGGGAGGCGAAGTATACTTGCAACCAGAGTTGGAAGACCCAGAGGGGACCATTCTGGTGTGGGTCGACCTTGTGGAGGGTCGTCTCGGCCAGGCAACGGAAAAGTTGGGCGAGAATGTTGGGACTCAGTGCCAGGACGTGACCACTAGCCAGGGCTTCGGCTACCGGCATGTTCTCGACCAAACACTTGTTTGACTTGGTACAACAAATGTATTTGTTGTACCAATAGAAGAGGAAGGCTTCATGCTCTCCCTCTCGCAGGTCCTCTTCTCCTCGGCCGGCGAAGTGAAGATAGAGTGTGTTGTAATTACAGAAGTTCTTGTGGAGCTTTTGAATGTCTTCCTTCGACGGGATGTGACCGTCACGGTTCAGGCTCTCGAAGGCTCGACGGTTGAAAAGCGTCTTCAGATCGATATTCGACGGGTGCCTAGAGAGGGTCGCGTCGACAGGGATCCCGGTTGCCGAAGTCCCCAGAATGGCGGTGATATCCAGGATGGTGGGACCAATGGGACCAAGAGGAAGAACCACTGTGTTGGTGGCCGAGCACCAGAAGCACAGAGCGGCTAGGAGAAGCTCCTTGTCGAAGACGATTTCCATGGGCGAGAGGAGGATGGCGTCGTAGATGCCGAGGGCCTTCCATTGCTCGCCGAAGAGTCGTTCCATTCGAACAACCCAGGCTGCCCAGGTTGTAGTCGTCGAGGGCCAGGAGCCTTGGGGTTTCGCCGCATCCCATCGCGACCATTCAAACCCTTGGAGCAAGGGTGTTAGGCGGTGCTCCTGGAGAAGGCCGGTGATGGTCGGTGGGATTGCAGCCTTGAAGAGAGGACCCAGGATTTGGTGCTGAGTGCTCATGTCATTTTCAAAACGTATAGTCTTGATCGAGCTCCGATCAAGAATCTTCTGATGTTGGTCACACTCCCTGGAAAGCTTGGAGATGAAGAACGCCATTGTAAGAAGGAGGCACGGCGTAAAAGGATTGTCTGGGTTAGGGATTTGAAAACGAAGACTTGGAAAAAAAGGTGCTGGAGAATAAGAACAAGAGTTTTTCAGAAAGTTTTGGGAGCGTAAAGTGCGAATGAGAGATTTTCAGTATTTATAGGCTTTTGGCAGGAAGGGTAATCGTTTGAAATTCAAAACAAAGGGGCAAAATCGACCGAAAGAATCGTTGATCATGATGAACATTTGGGAAATGCAGTTGAGAAGACCGAAGGTTTCAGATGTTGGGGGCGCACGATTGCGTGTGACGGCGAAATTAATGGCGGAAGACGTTTCGACGCCTGCACTATGACAAGTGGGTTCACGAACTGAGGAAGTGGCTCGCGGTTTGAGGTAGTAGTCATAATGTCGACGGTTCAGGCAGCCGCACGCCTTGGACGTCATCATTGGAGTTGGCCGTATTAAAGGACGCCACGTGGCGAGTTTGGTTAGCAGGATCAAGATCGTGCAATCATGTTCAATAAATGCGCCTTGGAACTCGGACATTAGGGTTCTGGGTGGTAGATTCGCTTCTTCAAGGCCGAAACTCGGCCAAAGAACTCAGGTCGAGGACCTCAGAAGCGAGGGGGCAATGTTTGGGCCCAAAATAACAGTTTGGGCCGAGTGTAGGGTCATTCTCGGCCCGGATGGCCTTGCGACAAGAATACCATGGATCGTTCAGTACGTGGGCCTCCAAACCTAGGTCGGCTAGGTCATAACGCAAGAGGTCGAATCCTAGTGCAATAGGGAGTCTCGGCAGGACCCGAAAGTGAATCCAGCTCAGTTAGGGACTAGGTTCACAGTCCTAGTGAAGGTAGGACTGGTCGAGTTGATGCTGATCAGGGGAAGAAAACCTAGTCCGAGTAGGTTTTTGACTCGACCTTGGGGGGAGCCATTGCTATAAATAGAAGAGGTTGCACATCCTTCAAACCCCCTGCAAATCAATACAAAATTGCCCTGCGCAAATTCTCACAACTTTGTGATTTTTCTTTTTCCTTTTTCGCTGACACATCTTCCGTTGGCATCAACAGCACTGTGGAAGCAACCGGTGATATCTTAAGTCGGCATAGATAGCTCTGTCACCGTAGAGTTAATCGGTCTCGCAGTATCTTCCGTTGGCATCAACAGCACTGCGGCGAGAACGGTTGATTACCTACCCAAGTCCCGGTCGAGAAGGGTTTCTAAATCCTTATTGGTCGAGGTCATCTCATCAGCCTTCTCGGCGAAGTGAGGTGTTACAATTATTACATTCGGTACATTGAAAGCCGAATTTGATATTGAACTTCGTAAGAATAGTAACCTTGTCTTCAGGTTTGAGAGCCCAAGAGGCCGAGACGTGTTCCTTTCTCGGCTGCAATCGCAAGACGCAGAAGTCAGTAGCGCGACCCAACGTAACATCAACAAATTTACTCCTCGGCCGAGCTCGGCCGACGAGTTGGCACGCCCCGCATTCACCGAAGGACGTAGTTAGCTCATTAATTACTCGGCATGCGCGCCACGTAGGCTTTGTAGTTTCTAGGGTCAACACTTAGTGATGGTGAACAAAAATATTTCCATTTTTAAAAGGTATCTCGTTCACCTTCTTCCGGTGAGATTTGGTGAAAATTAACTCAAATTTGTAACTTCCATTAAATCTTTCAAAATCTCAATTCAATACAGCTTATGTAATAACCTTCCTAGTGTATGTTGTATTTAGCATGTTAGTCCCACTTCCACTTGCACATTCATGATTTTTTGGGTCAACTATATCGGAGTAGGGCCATGATCACGACAGTCATGATCAAGAACATGAAGATCTCAAAATCGGAGGACGAAATACATATGAACCATAAGATTATATTAGTTTAGAATCAAACACTTATTATATTTGACAACTTAATAAAACAAAACCAACTTAAAATCTATAAACCTTTAGAAAATTTATTTTCCTATTTTACTTTATTAAGTTGTCAAATATTTTAAACATTTAGATATAAACTAATATAATATTATGGCTAGTTTACATTTGGTCCTCACATCTCTTTGAAATGAATACCTTAAGAGAGCAGGACTCATGATCACGAACCTTCATAGTTCATACCAGGACATGCAAAACAATAAGGGATGTGATATCTACACACCCCATTTTACTTCTCACACACCCTTTTAATTTTCGGCCGTCAGATTGGAAGAATTGAAGAAGATCAACGGTAAAACACAAACAAGTGTAATTACATATGTAAGGCCCAGTTGTTTGCTCATAGCTTGCTTTTTATAAAGTTCGTCTAACATTTTGTTTGACACAATGATATTCTGTTTAAGGTGTAATAATTTACGGTAGGCCAAACAATAATTGAATTATAATAATTATGCATCGAGTTTATTATTCATGTAAGTCGAACTTAAGACTTTTTAATACTACAAAGGAAAATACTAGACCGTCAACTGAGATGCCACTTCGGCGAATCCGGGGTGTATACATTAGTCGCGCATTGAAATCATTGTTTATGCGAGACTTACATTACATGTCTCTTCAGTAGCATCCCATTACATAAAAGTCTTTTTGGCTGCTTACCCACCTTCATTTGTTCTCGTGACCACCACTTCTACAAAGCATGATGACATAATCCGATCGCATGCACAACCTCCTCATTTGGTGTCGAAGAATCTTGAGATGGACCACTACAAGGTGGCCTGAAAGCTGACGCAGGACTTGGTACTGAAAATATTATATGATACCTGCTGTCTGTCAATTGCAAAAAGATGAATCTTTGGTGTTGGAGAAATTTGTTACGGATTTTCCTTTGGCATAAGTTGCAGAGGGATTGAGCATATAGAATATTGAATGAGTGAGCAGTCAATAAGTAACTCGATCAATGAATCTCAACTGGGATTTGTAAGCTTTCCGATTGCAGAAGGAATTTGAGATTTAAAATCTTCGTTGTCAGCAAATTTGAGGCTTTAAAGATGTTAAAGATCGAAGCTGACTGCTGGAGTTGCGAATCCCACGAATGATGGATCCACGGCTGAGGTCAAGACCAACTGCATAGCCACTGGTGCTGCAAGTTACTCCGGATCAAGAACAGCAGTCGATACTTGCATTCCAAGTAATAAGCTTTGTGGAAGCAGAAGAATTGAAGGTAAGGGTTTGCTTCAAGGGAAACAAGGATAACTGGTAGCCTTCATTGCAATTGCTTTCGACTGAAGTAACTGTCATGATCAAGAACATAAAGATCTCAAAATCGGTGTCGGCCAACAAGCTGAGGATTTCGGGATCTCTTGGTCTTTCTAATGTGTGTGTTGTCCGAGTGCCAACTCCTGGTCGCGGTCGTAGGTTCTTCGTGCCTGACTGCCTGACTGTGAAACGCGATACAGGTCTTGTGAGGTGATAGGTGAATTCAAATGCTCTTGTGATGGGCGAGAAATCGATAGCGTCGAGATACTCGCACGTGACGTGATGGATATGGTGAGTAGATTAGGTTATCGATGGAGTGGCAAGTGATATCGGTGTGTATGATGAATCGTATCAATTCGAACGTACTGGTCGTGGGGATTGATTTGATAAAGAACTCAAATTATGAACCAAAATAATCTAAATAAAAATTAACGTGCAGAGCAGAAACTAAATCTAAATTACGAAACTAAAATACTGAAATGAACTTTTGAAATTGCTGAATTCAAGTACTGGATAAACATGACATCAAAGCGAAGAACAAAACACAATTAAAAGATAAAGTCTAAAAGAACATTTCTTTTGTCCGATTACCATCGTCATTTCATTGTCTTCCACGAATCCGATTACCATTTCTTTTGTCCAGATGAGGGAGCATCTTAAAGAACATGTTCTCCACAGCTTCGTAATACCAGTTCCTCCATCCCTCGCAAAACACGAGTGGCCCGATGACGACTCCAAGGCCGACAAAATATCCAATTTCAACACTTAGAATGTCCCAATTAATCTCACTGCCAGAATTCGGATCACTTCCATTTGACATTGGTGGCAACGACATCGGTGGTCTGTCATATGCTGTCAAAGGAGGCCCCCATAAATCCGTGTTCCCTTCGAAGGAAGATTTTGGAAATGTTGAAAACTGAGTGCTGCTTGGGATCTTGCCAACCAAGTGATTGGTTGAGAGGTTCATGAATGCAAGGAAATGGAGTTTTGAAAATTCTGGTGGAATCTGCCCATTCAGGTTGTTCACTGAGAGATCTAAAGACTCGAGGTTTCCCAAGTTAATCAACGATGATGGGATTTTACCTGTGAAAGCATTGTTGGAGAAGTTGAGAATATACAATGATTTGAGTTCTCCAATTTCTTCAGGTATTTGTCCATGGAATTTGTTGCCAGAAAAGTCAACTGCGGTGAAGATAGTTAGAATCTTTGCCAGGTCCATCGTCAAATCTTTGCTCACAATTGTTACCGAGTTCTGATAGTAAATACCAGGATAGAATCTGTACAAATACTGAAGGTGATTTGCATCAGCTTTGTTGTCCATCATAGCTTTCCATGTTGTCAACAATCCTCCAGGTAATTCGCCATTGAAATTGTTGTGAGCTACATCTATGATTTGAAGCACTGGCCAGGTGCCATTGGTACTCGGACATCCAATGCCTCCGTAGAATTTATTGGATCGGAGAACAAGGACTCGCAAGGTGGAAACACTCTTCAAATAGCAGGGAAAAGTATCCATTATCTGATTGTATCCAAGGTTTAATACCACTAATTTTGTGCAGCTGACTAAAGATTCTGGAAGCCGGCCTTTGATTTGATTTCCACTGAGGTCTAGAGTTTCTAAACTGCAATGCTCATCAAATTTGTAAGAAATGTTGTCTGTAAGGTTGTTTCTCCGTAAATTAAGCACTGCAAGCGTCTTCATTGTAGTCAAGCACTCAGGAATTATACCACTAAGTGAATTATTGGACAGATCAAGAATCTCAAGAGTTGACAGATTGCACAACGATCTCGGAATGATGCCGTGGAGGTTATTGCTTGAAAGTGAGAAGAATTTGGTGGTCGTCAAGAACTCACCAATGTTAGTCGGTATGCCAGAGCTCAAATTATTTCTGGAGTAATCCAAAAATTGCATTGTAGGTGCTGAGAAAACTGGGATTGCCCTTGAAGCTGGTTAGAGTGAAGGTCGAGCAGCCGTAGAGCAGAAGTGAGATTGGGTAAAGGACCAAAACTTGCCAAGGAGTTGCATGAAATATTTAGATAACTAACCAATTTGAGCCCCCAAATCCAGTTTGGTATCTCTCCATGAATTTGATTTTGTGCAAGATCCAAGGTGTGTAAATTGGGTAGATATCTCAAGAAATCAGGATATGTTCTCAACTTGGTAGAACTTAAAATCACTGTATCCAATTGAGGCAAGGATGAATATGAGGAATTGGTACCGGTATGATCAATGAACAAGCTGGTGTTTGAAAGATTAAGAAAAGTCAGATTTCTCAGCTTCTGAAGACCACTTAGAGGAAACGAGCCTTCCAAGTTGTTTGAAGAAAGTGAAAGATACTCAAGACCTCTCAAACTAAAAATAGACATCGGTACTGGCCCTTCGAGATTGTTGAAATCCAAACACAAGGAGCTTAATTGGTTAGAAGAAGAGACGTTAGAGAACTCATGGAACTGATGCGAGAACTTATTGTTGGAAAGGTATAATGTTTGCAGCAGGGGAAGAGAAAACATAGATAATGGAATGCCTCCAACAAGCAGGTTGTAACTCAAGTCAACATCCTTCAACTCGACAAGGTTTTCCCAATGAGTGGAATTAATGGAACCGCTGAACTTGTTGTCTGACATGTCTAAATAATACAAGTGTCTGAGATTTTCCATTGACTTTGGGATTGATCCATAGAAATTGCAGGTTGAGAGATCTATCACGGACAACATTTTGAGGTTGCCAATAGAGTCCAGCAATAACCCCGAAAAACTTGTGTAGCTCAATTCCAGAGTTTGAAGAGATCCAGTGTTCGGAAATTCTGGCAAGGAACCTTGAAGCAGCCGATTGGAGGACAAGTCAATATGCTGTAGTGTAGATATCTGGAAGATTTCTTGGGGAAATGTTCCATACAACTGACATTTATGGAGAATCAAGGAAGTCAAGTTCGAAAAATTGGCGAAGAATGATGGAACCGGAGAAGATATGTTGTTATAATCCAATCGAATCACGGATAGAGATGAAAGCTTGGCAAGGGAGTCATCAATAGGTCCCAGAAGACCAGTGCTGGACAAGCTCAGCACCCTCAGCTTTGGAAGTGAAGAAGATATTACTTGACACCAGTCACTCCTTTTTCTTGATATGTTTACCGAATCAAGATATAATACTTCAAGCTCTGTGAGATTCTGAATCAGCATGCTTAAATTGGGGTTCTCAAGTTTTAAGTTAGTTTCAGAAAGATCAAGAACAATCAACCTTGTCAAGTGCGAAATCTCAATTGGGATTTGCCCCAAAAAACCATTATGGGATAGATTCAGATACCTCAACTTTGCAAGCTTTCCGATAGAAGATGGTATTTGAGAGTGGTGATAACCGTTATCAGCAAAGTTGAGGCTTTGAAGATGTTGAAGATCAAAAAGACTGCTGGAGTCGTCAATCCCACTTAGGATCCGTTCCTTGCTGAGGTCCAGACCAACTGCATAGCCATTAGCACTGCAATTTACTCCGACCCAAGAACAGCAGTCGATACTTGCATTCCAAGTAACAAGCTTGGTGGAAGCAAAATTATTGAAGTTAAGGCTTTGCTTTAAGCGGAGCAACGATGACTGGTCATCTTCATTGCACTTGCTTTCGGCTGGAGTAACAGTCCCGATCAAGAACATAAAGGAAATGAGCAAAAGTTTCATTCTGTGGTAAAATTTGGAGCAGAAGATAGATGAAGGAAATATGCAGGAGGTTTGAATGTTGATGTGGTGGGTTTTAATCTCATGGCATTTGCGCGTTGGCTTCAATTTAAAACCCTTTCCTTTTTATACCTAACCAAACAGACAAAGCAATACAAACAAATGTGAAAAGGCAAAAGAAGAATGATTAACTAAAGTTAATTAGTTTACTAATTTTCCTGGTAAGATGATGCTCATCAACTTAAGTTTATAAAGTATCAAAGTATCAATCAGGTATTCGATCTCTTTCTGACTGTCCTTTTCCGGGTGTCTGGGTTGGATTTTGATTGAGGGACTGCAATGTTGATCCAAGCTTTCCAATACCTTTTAATTTGTGTGGGGGACTTATACAAGGCCGGCCATGAGAATTTGATAGAAGATGCAAGTAACAGAGCCTTCACCAACAAAATTTGAAAAGGCAGTACTCTTTTTTTTTTCCCATTTATCATACTCCAACATATAAATTCTTTGAGGCGCCTATCTTGACTACCCTCAGGCCGGCCATGGACTTATAACAAGATCTAGTACACCATAAAAAACTAAATGTTTATCAGTTGAGAGAAGATAATGGTATAAATACAACCTTAACTTAGCACTAGAGAGAGAGAAAAACAATTTTTTTTGTGTGGAGAAAGTGTGAATTGAAAGTATACTGTCCTAAAAAAATTACCCGTTCAGGCACCTGGAAGCTACAATCTCCATGGATTACGACGAAGAAGCTGCATTGGTGGTATGCAGATGTTACTTACATATCATCCATTTGTAAGACGCTGTGTGTTTTAAATTTTAACTACCAACAGATTTAAAGTTTGAGGGTTTTTGGTTGTAAATTTAGCAGCTTTCATCCCCATCAACCTGAAGGATTTCAGAAAGGTAACTTTTATCCTGGTTGTAAATTTGCGGTTGTCTGACTTCTCTCAAAACAGTTGTGACTGAGGAGGAAACTCGTCACGGTCGTAGGTTCTTCGTGCCTGACGGTGAAATGTGTTACAGGTCACTGTGAGGTGATAGGTGAATTCAAATGTTCTTGTGATGGGCAAGAAATCGATAGCGTCGAGATACTCGCACGTGACGTGATGGATATGGTGAGAAGATTAGGTTATCGATGGAGTGGTACGTGATATGGGTGTGTATGATGAATCGTATCAATTCGAACGTACTGGTCGTGGGGATTGATTTGATAAAGAACTCAAATTATGAACTAAAATAATCTAAATAAAAATTAAAGTGCAGAGCAGAAACTAAATCTAAATTACGAAACTAAAATGCTGAAATGAACTTTTGAAATTACTGAATTGAAGTTCTGGATAAACATGAAATCAAAGCGAAGAACAAAAAACATTTAAAAGATAACATCTAAAAGAACATCTCTTTTGTCCGATTACCATCGTCATTTCAATGTCTTCCCCTTGGATCGATTTCTGTAGACACGTCTTCCGCGAATCCGATTACCATTTCTTTTGTCCAGATGAGGGAGCATCTTAAAGAACATGTTCTCCACAGCCTCGTAATACCAGTTCCTCCATCCCTCGCAAAACACGAGTGACCCGATGACAACTCCAAGGCCAACAAAATATCCAATTTCAACACAGAGTATCCCAATTAATCGCATTGCCAGAATTCGGATCGCTTCCATTTGACATTGGTGGCAACGACATCGGTGGTCTGTCATATGTTGTCAAAGGAGGCCCCCATAAATCCGTGTTCCCTTCGAAGGAAGATTTTGGAAATGTTGAAAACTGAGTGCTGCTTGGGATCTTGCCAACCAAGTGATTGGTTGAGAGGTTCATGAATGCAAGGAAATGGAGTTTTGAAAATTCTGGTGGAATCTGCCCACTCAGGTTGTTCACTGAGAGATCTAAAGACTCGAGGTCTCCCAAGTTACTCAACGATGATGGGATTTCACCTGTGAAAGCATTGTTGGAGAAGTTGAGAATATACAATGATTTGAGTTCTCCAATTTCTTCAGGTATTTGTCCATGGAATTTGTTGCCAGAAAAGTCAACTGCGGTGAAGATAGTTAGAATCTTTACCAGGTCCATCGTCAAATCTTTGCTCACAATTGTTACTGAGTTCTGATAGTAAATAACATCAAAGCCTGTGTCCGCATACTGAAGGTGATTTGCATCAGCTTGGTTATCCATCATAGCTTTCCATGTTGTCAACAATCCACCAGGTAATTCGCCATTGAAATTATTGTGAGCTACATCTATGATTTGAAGCACTGGCCAGGTGCCATTGGTACTCGGACATCCAATGCCTCCGTAGAATTTATTGGATCGGAGAACAAGGACTCGCAAGGTGGAAACACTCTTCAAATAGCAGGGAAAAGTATCCATTATCTGATTGTACCCAAGGTTTAATACCACTAATTTTGTGCAGCTGACTAAAGATTCTGGAAGCCGGCCTTTGATTTGATTCCCACTGAGGTCTAGAGTTTCTAAACTGCAATGCTCATCAAATTTGTAAGAAATGTTGTCCGTAAGGTTGTTTCTCCGTAAATTAAGCACTGCAAGCGTCTTCATTGTAGTCAAGCACTCAGGAATCATACCACTGAGTGAATTATTGGACAGATCAAGAATCTCAAGCGTTGACAGATTGCACAACGATCTCGGAATGATGCCGTGGAGGTTATTGCTTGAAAGTGAGAAGAGTTTGGTGGTCGTCAAGAACTCACCAATGTTAGTCGGTATGCCAGAGCTCAAATTATTTCTGGAGTAATCCAAAAATTGCATTGTAGGTGCTGAGAAAACTGGGATTTGTCCTTGAAGCTGGTTAGAGTGAAGGTCGAGCACGCTTAGAGCAGAAGTGAGATTGGGTAAAGGACCAAAATTTGCCAGGGAGTTGCATGAAATATTTAGATAATAAAGTAATTTGAGCCCCCAAATCCAGTTTGGTATCTCTCCATGAATTTGATTTTCTGCAAGATCCAAGGTGTCTAAATTGGGTAGATATCTCAAGAAATCAGGAAATGTTCTCAACTTGGTAGAACTTAAAATCACTACAACCAATTGAGGCAAGGATGAATACGAGGAATTGGAACCGGTACGATCAATGAACAGGCTAGTGTATGAAAGATTAAGAAAAGTCAGATTTCTCAGCTTCTGAAGACCACTTAGAGGAAACGAGCCTGCCAAGTTGTTTGAAGAAAGTGAAAGAAACTGAAGACCTCTCAAATTAAAAAAAAACATCGGTACTGGCCCTTCGAGATTGTTGAAATCCAAAAACAAGGAGCTTAATTGGTTAGAAGAAGAGACGTTAGAGAACTCATGGAACTGGTGCGAGAACTTATTGTTGGAAAGCAGCAATGTTTGCAGCAGTGGAAGAGAAAACATAGACAATGGAATTCCTCCATCAAGCTGGTTGTACATCAAACTGACAAACATCAACTCGACAAGGTTTTCCCAATGAGTGGAATTAATGGAACCGCTGAACTTGTTGTCTGACATGTCTAAATAATACAAGTGTCTGAGATTTTCCATTGACTCTGGGATTGATCCATAGAAATTGCATGTTGAGAGATCTATCATGGACAACATTTTGAGGTTGCCAATAGAGTCTGGCAATGACCCCGAAAAATTTGTGGAGCTCAAGTCCAGAGTTTGAAGAGATCCGGTGTTCGGAAATTCTGGTAAGGAACCTTGAAGCAGCGGATTGTAGGACAAGTAAATATGCTGTAGTGTAGATATCTGGAAGATTTCTTGGGGAAATGTTCCATACAACTCGCATCCACAGAGACTCAAGGAAATCAAGTTTGAAAAATTGGCGAAGAATGATGGAACCGGAGAATATATGTTGTTATAATCCAATCTAATCACAGATAGAGATGAAAGCTTGGCAAGGGAGTCATCAATAGGGCCTGAAAGTTCAGTGTAGGACAAGCTCAGCACCCTCAGCTTTGGAAGTGAAGAAGATATTACTTGGCACCAGTCACTCCTTTTTCTTGATATGTTTACCGAATCAAGATATAATACTTCAAGCTCAGTGAGATTCCGAATCAGCATGCTTAAATTGGGGTTCTCAAGTTTTAATTTAGTTTCAGAAAGATCAAGAACAATTAACCTTGTCAAGTGAGAAATCTCAATTGGGATTTGCCCCAAAAAACCATTATGGGATAGATTCAGATACCTCAAATTTGCAAGCTTTCCGATAGAAGATGGTATTTGAGAGTGGTGATAACCGTTATCAGCAAAGTTGAGGCTTTGAAGATGTTGAAGATCGAAGAGACTGCTGGAGTCGTCAATCCCACTTAGGATCCGTTCCTCGCTGAGGTCCAGACCAACTGCATAGCCATTAGCACTGCAATTTACTCCGACCCAAGAACAGCAGTTGATACTTGCATTCCAAGTAACAAGCTTGGTGGAATCAGAATTATTGAAGTTAAGGCTTTGCTTTAAGCGGAGCAACGATGACTGGTCATCTTCATTGCACTTGCTTTCGGCTGGAGTAACAGTCCCGATCAAGAACATAAAGGAAATGAGCAAAAGTTTCATTTTGTGGTAAAATTTGAAGCAGAAGATAGATGAAGGAAATATGCAGGAGGTTTGAATGTTGATGTGGTGGGTTTTAATCTCATGGCATTTGCGCGTTGGCTTCAATTTAAAACCTTTTCCTTTTTATACCTAACCAAACAGACAAAGCAATACAAACAAAATATGAAAGGGCAAAAGAAGAATGATTAATTAAAGTTAATTAGTTTACTAATTTTCCTGGTAAGATGATGCCCATCAACTTAATTTTATTAAGTATCAAAGTATCAATCAGGTTTTCGATCTCTCTCTGACTGTCCTTTTCCTGCTGTCTGGGTTGGATTTTGATTGAGGGACTGCAATGTTGATGCAAGCTTTTCAATGCCTTTTTAATTTTTGTGGAAGACTTATACGAGGCCGGCCATAGAATATGAGGGCTCGAGACGAGCTATATCAAATAGAAGATGCATGTAACAGAGCCTTTACCAACACACCAACCTCAAGCTACTGACAATAGGCAGTTTCTTTCTTTCTTTTCTTTTTTTTTCCATAATGGGCATATAATTTCTTTTTGGCGCTTATCTGGACTACCCTCAAGGTCGGCCATGGACTTATAACAAGATCTAGTACACCATAAAAAACTAAATGTTTATCGGTTGTAACAAGATAATAGTAGAAATAGAACCTTAAATTAGCACTACAACATTAATGCCAAATAAATGTGGAAGTAGTTCTTGATTTGGATACCTGGTTTGGGACTCTGCAGGGGATGTTGTTGTTGCAGCTGCTCTCTACCTCCTCTTTTTCCTCGACTCAAATATGTTCTACTATCTTTTAGAATATCAATGGAATTGATGCCCCCAAATGGTTCAAATGGTCGCATTTGTGGTCTTCCACATTATTTGGTGTGGTTAAAAAAAAACCTTATATACGAAAGAAACTTGCAAGGGATAAAAAATTTGTCACCTAACGAAGAGCACCCATATTATATGTCGTTCCGTACTCTCACTTGCAGATGCTTTCTTTCTGTGATAGTACGTGAGCTTCGTGTAATCTACTGAGCACGACCAAAGGGTGACCGGAATGGCTCATCCAAGCGACCCTACTCGGTTTGGCTTAGTTGGGAAGGGCCAAGTTTGTTTGGATCTGTTTGGGTTAGATTTTGTCTGTGCTCAAATGATGTGGTTGTAGATTATTAGATTATTAATTAAGTGTCAATTAATGTGCTTTTTTTTTATTGACGACACATCATTTGATTTGCAATTTGATTTAAAAATTTGGTTTCCCTAGCATTATCCTTGTCTATAGGTGAGAAGAAATTTTTCCTTATGACTGAAATACGGGTGGTACACCACGTGCTTTTATACAGTGGTGGAAAATGGTATTTTTAAGGTATTAACTTTTTAACACACATATTTCACCATTTGTAGTGATATGTGATGTACCAGCCCGTGTTTCGATCACACTGAAAAATCTCTTATAAGTGAGGGTGAGGTGATATTTTATTGAAGTGCAAGCCATCATAGGGCTACAAATGCTTATAAATAAAAGGGGTCATATATTCTGTTCAACTAACTTATTTCTAGCTGAAGTTGCATCAGCGTTTAATTAATTTCCAATTTTCAACTTTGAAACATCTCTAGACTTAATAAACAATGTGGAAGTGCAAGCCCTAACTTTGCACTTATACGCTGCAAGATATAGTAGTGTTCGTGGTATAGCTGCGGTGGAATCCTCACCAAACACCAGCTGCTCAAGGCCATCGTCAAGCTCTTCCGACCACGCTGAACCACACATTGTTCATCAAGAGCTGGTGGGAATTCCTAATTCTTCTGTGCATAGTTGAAGGAAGTTGAAGTTCCATTATAAAACCAATTGACAAATATGAAGAGTGACCCAACTTACTTAAGGTCTTTCCTCCCATCAATGTGGGATTCATTCTCAACAATCTGAGTCCCAATGATCAAGCAAACCCAAGATAGTACTCATGAATATGAATATAGTATATTGAGTTAACATTCTCCCCAAATGATGAGAGACATACAATTCATTAGAGTATTGCACAAGAAAGCTATTAATTTCTCATTTCTCTACTCTTAATGTAAATATATCATCAAACAAAAATGAAAAAAAAAAATCTTTATCATGTTGTAGCCTATTTTATCTGACAAGGGAAAGGGGCCGGCGGCAGAGGGAGAGAGATTGAGAGAGATATGTTTATAGAATTGTAGGGGAATGTGTGTGTTGTTATCCCTCCTACATAGTGCATTTATTTATAGTAATAAGGGAGAGAAGAAATCATTCATCCCCAAGGAATACAAGTTGTAATAGGAAAGGATAACTAGAATCAAATCTAATCTAGGATTTACACAATCACACTTGAACTAGGAAAGTTTACAACACTCCCCCTTGAGTGTGTAAATACTCAAGGTAGATTCGGTATCATGTAGAAGTTGAGGAAGTCAACTCGTCGGCACTGATTCTAAGGAACGTGCTTATTCTCAATAAGGTAGAAACTTGCATAAAGAAGTAAAGTCTCACTAAAAAACCCTAAGGCTATGGCAAAAATCCGATGAGGGACAAAATCCATAGTCTAAGGAAAAATGCATGAGCAATGCAAAGTCAAAAGAAATGCCTACATGACATCATCAGGGATATGATCAGCCCAAGATGGATGCCTCGTTAAAACCTAGTTAGGTAGTAAAAACCTAGTGGGAAAAATGCTCTTAATCGTAGGGAAAAAAGAGTACACTAAGATCAAGCAAGTATACTTCAGGATACTCCCCCTGAGTTTGATATAATTCCAAAGAGAACTAGTAATGTTACAACTTAGAAAGTTTACGCATACCAATTCCATGAACAAGCTTCTGAAACGTTATCTTCGGCAGTGATTTGGTGAAGAGGTTGACCATATTATATTGTGAACGGATTTGCGTGACTTCAATCTTCTGATGCTCTTGTTGTTGATGTGAGAAGAAGAACTTCGGCGCAATATGCTTGGTGTTGTCTCCTTTGATGTAACCCGTCTTGAGCTAATCGATGCATGCTATGTTGTCTTCATAAATCGTCGTCGGGACATCAACGGCGAGGTAAAGATCGCAGGAGCTTCGAATATGGCCCACAACTGCTCTCAACCAAAAGCATTCCCGAGTTGCTTCATGTAAGGCGAGAATTTCAGCATGGTTAGACGAAGTGGCAACTAAGGTATGTTTAATTGACCTCCAAGAGATTGCGGTGCTTCCAACGACAAATATACAACCCGTTTGAGAACACGCCTTGTGCGAATCTGAGGGCGTCAAAGGCTGAAAACAAAAGCCCAAAAAACAAAAATCTAGGGTTTCGTGAAATTGAAACAAAATAAAATTAAACACTTACATGTAGAATCGGAGGCTACAAACAAAATCCCCAAAATCACAAAAAGGAAATTTGAACATAAAATCCATTTGTAAATCAAAAATCACAAAAAAAAAAAAAATTCAAACAAAACAAAACCCCCAGATGATATCGATATTGTTCAGATAACAACAAAAAACTCAAGACCAAGAAAGCCGTAAATCTTATCAGGAAACGGGAGCTTTTCTGGGTAAAATTTTCTTCGAATCAAACTCAAAACCCGAAGAAAAATGTATTGTTGGTTGGTTTTTCACCAAGAAACTTCTATTGGTTCGTTGGTAGCTTGTGAGAAAAAGAACACAAGGTTTGAGAGTGAAAGAAGCCGAGCTTCAGAGCAACAAAAGGCAAGTTTGAGAGAGAGATGGAAACGAAAAGAAAATTGGAGATGTAGTGGAAGCGGAGCAGTCAACGATGATGGACGTGTGGGCAGCACGGACAAATAAGTAATTCTAATGTGCCAAGGAGGGAAAACAACGGAGAACAGATAAGCAAATAAGGGCATTACCGCCATTTTACTGTTAAAACAGTGTTAGGGGAACCCAGTTTTAATATATGTATAATTTTAATGTCAATTTTACCCTCTTGTAAAATGACATGTAAGGACAAACAAAAATGTGTTGTAGATTGCCAATTTCCTTATGCCCACTACACATTGCCGGATTGCCCATTTCCTCATGTCTGTTCACCATCTCTCTGAAAGACAAAAAAAAATCTTCTCTCTTACAATTAGTGGCAGATTCAGGAAATAATATTAGGGGGATCAGTAAGAATAGCGAGCGCAAAATTTTTTTTATATCAAAAATAGCATGCATATCGCCATTTCATCAAGTCTTGGTAGACCTGAAGTCATTTGGAAAGGCATATTGCACACCTGTTAATGTATGCAAGGGCAACACCCAAGGTATCCATGGACATTCACCGAGTCTTGGTAGGCCTGAAGTTAGTTGAAGGGCATGTATGAAGCCAACTCTAATCTTCAAAAGGGAAGCACCCAAGGTGTCCGTGAACATTCACCGAAGTTCAGAAGATCAGCACCTAAGATATCTATAGATGTTCATCGAAGTTCAGGGGATCAGCTGACCCTCTGCCCCTCAATGCATCCGCCCCTACTTACAATTCAATTATTGTGCCTTTATTGGACGAAATTTCATCTCTTGTAAACAAGTATTTCTGCTTCTATTTTTTATTTCTCTAAAACCCTAATTTCGAGAATCAAATCAAATATGAACCAACTGATCATATATCATCCATCATTGCTTCATAAGATCCTTAAAACTGTATGTTCTCCCAGCCTCTCCTTTGGTTCTAACCTCGACCCAAACCTCACCTCCCTTTTTTTTTAAAATTGAATTGTTTTATTTTAGAATTCTAATTAGGGAGGGGTAATTTGAAGATATTGAAGGCTTCACCATTATGGGATTTTTTTTTTTTTTTTTATTTTAACAAAAGATATTGTCTATACTAAAGGGAGGGGGTGAGTTTAGCCTCACAATGGGTTAGCAATAATGTAGTTCAAATTCGCATTTGGTGATAATCTAACATAAGATCTCTCACTTATAAGTGAAGAAGAATACCACTATACCGTAATACTAATTGACAAATTTATTTTAGAATTGAATTATTTTATTTTAGAATTCTAATTAGGCAGAGGTATTTGCAAATATTGAAAGATTCATCATTAATTTAGAAGTTTTTGTTATTTTAGAATTGACTTGTTTTATTTTAGAATTCTTAACAGGGAGGGGTATATTAGGTATATTAAAAATTTCACAATTTTGGTGTACTCCCGTTATATATAGAGAAGCAAATCTCGCCTAGAAAACATTACAAAACCAATCAAGAAAGCCCTAAAATTAAACACACACACTCATGTTTTGACTTTTTGCAATATATAATTATAATTACTATAATTGAGAAGTTAACTGTAGCCAGGTTCGTTGAACCTGTTAGTAAAGTGTTATCTAGTCTGCACATTAATGAAGAAATTATCTATATACTAAAACCCGGTGGAAAACACTGTTCACGAGCAGTGTAATGGCTTAAATACCCCTTGGTGTCTTCTTTGTTTCCGGTGGTCTTACCTGCTTGGTACAGTGAGATGACGCTTTTGCACATTCCTATCAGTTTCTGCACAGTTAAATGACAGTTATGCCTTTTTCGTTCCACCTGTCCCTCATCGTGTGTGTTTTGGGTCTACGTATTCTGGATATTTCTTTACTTTTTGGCTTTCTTCTCTGGGATACATCCACTTCATTGGTTTTTAAAACCCAAATCCTCTGCTGCATGTTCAGATGCTTTCATGTTGTGTTTTTTAATTATTTTTTGTGTGGTGGATACGCCATACACGCCTCTCTTTATCCAATCTCAGCATTTGTTTTTCTCTCTTCCCTTTTCTATCCTTTGTTTTTCCTCCATCTTCCAGATGCTTTCTTGGTTGTATTTTTTAATTAATTTTTTGTGAAAAGGTGTGTATCATAGGTGCCAAGTGTCGATGATCGATGTGTTCATATCTCAGCATTTGTTTCTCTCTCTTCCCTTTTCTATCCTTTGTTTTCTCTCCATCTTCCAGATGCTTTCTTGGTTGTATTTTTTAATTAATTTTTTTTGTGAAAAGGTGTGTATTATAGTTGCCAAGTGTCGATGATCGATGTGTTCGTTGTTGGGTTTGTTTGCTTTTTCTTTCCCAGATTTTCATTTCTCTTCTTGCTCTCACTTTCTTCTTTGTCGTTCTGTGTAGTTCTCAGAGGTTATTTCGTTTTGCTCTTCATTTTTTCTTCTGCTGCTCCCAAATTTTTGTTCAATCGTCGTCGTATTTTTGTGTGTTGCTGTCAGGTTTTTCGTCGGTGAAAAAAAGAGCAACACTTTAGGTTTCTTTCATTGGGATATCAGTTATTTAGAGTAATTTGTTTTTAAACTATTTTTAAAAGGGCATCACTTTAGGTTTCTTATAGTGACACGTTTATATGTATTTTTGCCCATTTTTATCCTGTTTATGACATTTTTGTGCTAGGGTTTTTGAGCTTTGTTACTTACCCTTTCGTTTTTTTTTTTTTTTTTTTTTTGATTTGTTTTGCAGGTTGCATTTGCAAAGGGAGAACAAGATCTTGGATAGTCTCTGTGCTTATGAAACATTTGAGGGTAAGATTCACATGGTTATTTAAATCTGTGGGTTTTGTTTCTTCGATTTTAAAATGGAAAAAGCCTAACTTTTTTTTTCCTTAGATTTTAATTAGAATGTGTTGTAAAGCTTTTTATGTATTGATGTGGTTTATTGTAATAACTTGGCAAGTATGTATAATGAGCTATTAGTTTTGGATTTACAGAAATTAAGTGTTCAATTAGTTGAGGCTATTTGGTTGGCTTTCATTATTCTTTGTTCTTTTACTTTCTCTTATTGTCATGTATTTTTGTGGCTTATTCTTATTCTGCAGTTGCAGTATTATGTTAGTTTTGCATAACATTATTAGTTAGTCAATGATGGTGATGTTAAAGCCCACAAAATGGTTGGCTAAAGTGTATTGAGAAAGGGTCTTTTTTATCCATGTGTTGTAAATCTTTTTACATGTTGTTGTGGTTTATTATGATAACTTAGCAAGTATGTATAGGGGGAAAAGCTTTTGCCTTCCCCTGTTTCCTTTTTTTCTCAGAAAAAAAAAATAATTCATGCAATATTTTTCTGTTTTTGTTAAAATAATGTGTTGCTGTGATTGAGTACCTAAAGCTTACACATTTGGTCTATGTTTTATACTCTAATATATTAAATATACATGAAATATCTAATTTATCTGATTTGTTGGCTATATATATGCTGCTTAGCAATTTGATTACCTGAAAATTTAGCCACCAAGGCAAATTTTTTTATACCAAAACTGTTGCACAGATGTTTGTTAACAAAAAGTGGGTCACTGTTTTCATCTTCTCAATTAAGTTTTACAGAAAACATTTATAATTTTTAGAGGCATTATTTGGTCCTTTTTTCATTTAAGTTTTAATTGGCATTTCATCTTTATTTGAAAAAAAATAATTTCATTTCAAATTAACATTGATGCTTCCCACTTGAATACAGGCTTTCTTTACAGATTTTCATTTTGTGGCAAAAACATTTCTCCGTGTAAATTGTTGAATAGGTTGTTGAAACTAAACCAAGTCATGAACTTTTACAAAAAAAACTTAGAATTTTTTTAAACATTATTTGATCGCTTTTCCATTTAAGTTTCAATTGACCTTTCATCTTTATTTCTAAATTGATCATAAACTGTAACGAGATGCTCAAGGATTTGCACCAATTTGTTTAAAGTTTTTTTGGTTCAACTTCCTTTCCGATAATGCTCTCTGAGTTTGTGAACTATTTACGTGTGTGGTTAAACTCAATGCAAAAAAATGTTTGCTGCCAGTATATAGTAGACAACAACCTACAAATTCTTGACCCTTGGCTAATAATAGGGGACGTATTTTGGTCAATGTTTTTTATGCATTTTTTTTTTCATTTTCATAAACAAATTTTATTCTCTTTCATGATTTCAATGTTTCTTTTAAGTTTTCTATCATAATTATTTTTAGACTTATAAAATTTACATTTGATTTTAGCAGCCTAAATGGAAAACACAGCTGCTACTCCTATCCATTTACTGCGCCCTTATACAAAAGTGCTCAAAATAAAAGTTCGAGTGTGCAGAATATGGAGACCAAGATTTCCTGGAAGCGTTGAAAAATATTCGGGCCTTCGTTGTATATTAGTTGATGAAATGGTGAGAAGTCATTATTTTATTATTTTAATTAAAATTTATGATAAGAATAATTAACAATGGACATGACATTTTTCTTTTTTATCATTTTTTTACATATTAACCAATAAATTTTATGTTTTTCAAATTAATAAAGGATTTTTGCAAGTATTCTGTACTTAGTTTCAAGTGGTTGTTTGGTTTGGTAAAGTTAAGATTACAATTTTTTTTTCGACGGAGTGGTACGCTGTCTTCAGTTTCAGCCTGATTAGGAAAATCGTATACATTCTGTGTTTCTATAATTACTATTCAATGTATACATGCTAATGTTGTTAAAAACATTATCTTCGTTTTATTTCGTTTGTTAATTATGCTTCTGACTTTTTTTCCTTTTTCTGCTTTAATGAATTGTAAAGCAACATGCAGTTGAGGCCTGTACAGCTGACATAGACTACGAGATCATAGCTTCCGAAATTGAAGCTGGTGGTTGTTATGAAATCATGGATTTTCGTGTGAATAAAATGAGAGGTCAATATAGAGTTGTCCCGCATGACACTCAAGTTGTGTTCACTGGAAAAAACAACTTTCAAAAAACTAACAAGTGTATTCCCGCCCATCCCTCGATGTCGATTTTACTTGCAAGACTATAACAGTCTTTATCCTCGGCTAAATAGGGTTGATATTCTAACAGGTAAAAATAATAGATATATACATGTATTAAAACATTTTGTCTTTATTTTTTAAATGAATTTTGGCAATCTAACAATATTTATTTGTTAAATTACGAGATATCATGGGTCGTATAACTGCTGTACAACATCTGGAACAGAAACAAATTAATCAGAGAATCAAACCCAAGTGTGATATAATCATTCAAAATATCAGGTTACTTCTTCTTTTTCAATGTTGTATAAATGATTTTGCATATGTATTATATTCACAATACACCAAGTTTTAAATATTCTCTTACAATTCTAAATTATTAAACAATTATATCATCTTCATAATATTGACTTGATAGCTATTAATAGAAAAGCACACATTTTTCACTACCTCTAATTCAATTTTTTTTTTCAAATTTACTTCTCCTACAGGAGAGAAGAGTTGAGAGTTACGTTATGGGCAGATGTTGCAGAAAGTTTTTATTCTTTATCAGCTGAAGCGTTCAACCCACCAATCATGATTGTTTTAACAAGTTTGAAGTAAAGTTGTACCTAGGTATTTAATTTGATTAAAATCCAATCTATTAAGTCTCTTTTTTTTTATTACGTTGAAATATTTTTTAATTTAGACTCTCTCAATGTTTTATTATGGAGCAGTTTAAACATATTTACTGTCTATGAAACCGGTGTTCATATTTTTGGTTTACAAATCGATAGTTGTCATCACAATTCTGACTAAAATTGTTATTTTTTTTCTTGCTACTTTCTGACATTTTACTTTCGATTTAGTGATTTCTTTGTCTGAGTAATTGGCATAGAAGTATTACAGTGTATAGGTGCTTATTAACTATAGTTAATCATTTTCTTGGTTCCGTTAACTTTCTGTGCAGCTGTAAATACAAATTGAAATGCTGCTGATCTAATCAGTTGTTGCTCAGCATGTTATAATTATTTAGACAGGCGTTAACTTTCATGAGACAATTTTTATTTCGTTTTTAAAGTTATATAAACGTGTTTAAAGTGTCTGTTAATATTTTCTTCTTGCTTTTTACATTATTTTTTCGATGTGTAGATAACATTGTCTTGAACAGTACTGGTTCTCCACTCTTCTTCATTGATCTAGACATTGTAGAACTAAATGCTTACAAATCAGTGTGAGTGTATTTACCATTTTTAAAATAAAGTAAAAATGTATTCATTATTTTTGTAATCAAAGACATGTTATTTTCATCAAAGAACTCAAATAATATTAAATTTTAAATTTTGCAGGTTTGCCAATTGCACAGAGGCTGTGAAAAAACTGCCACCCTCTTCAAAACATGCCAATGAAGCTGAAGTCTTACAGGCTGCCAAGAAAGCGACCATCGAGGAATTAGCTTTTCTAGATCCAGATTTACACAAGGTATAAAAGCTTTTACATCTCTATCTTTTTTTTTTTTTTAATCTATAACTACTTTTTTTTATATATTTGGTTAAAACTATGTATATTTTCAATTATCTTTATACAAATATTTTGTTAAAATATTTTACAGGACGATACATTTTTGTGCAAAGCGTGTGTAAAGCGTTTTGACACACGCTATGATTGGTGGTATAGCGCTTACCCAAATTGTGCCAAACAAATGCAGAAGGATCCCACAACTGGGCAATTGGTTTGTCAAAAACATGAAAGCCAAATTCCGACTGCTTGGTAATATTTCAAATGCTATAGCTTAGTTTTGTTATTTATCATTTAAAAAATTTGCAATGTCTATTTTTTTTTTCTTTTCAAACTTCTAACAATATGGTGAATCACTTATTTGTTTGCTGATTTCATGTAGATAACATTGCACAATTAACACATTGGTATAAAACATTCAAAGTTTTTAAAATATTGTCCAAAACTGTAAGCCCTTAAACAAAATTAAAAACTTAATCATCTACTCCGTTTGAAAATGCATGAACTCAACCTGTGTTCCAATTTTTTACCATGTTTGTCTACACATAATATTTGTATGGTTATGTAAAGTAATTTTAGGTGTTTAAAACACTTGGACAAAAATCATTTTCACCTATATGTTATTCAACTTAAAATTACTATGTGTATGCACATTTTATCCCATCATGCTTAATCATTTGTCACAGCTCTAGGTTTTACTAATTCTGCTTTCATGTACAAGCCGACTTGCAAAGGCTAATCATAGTTTTTATACACAGGTACAAAGTCAACTTAGTTCTTGAAGATGAAACTAATGAAACAAATGCTTTGATAATTGGTAAATCTGGTGAAAAGCTATTTGGCTCAAGCTGCAAAGATTTAGTGATGAATCAAAGATTGGTGGATCAACAGCAACTCCCAAATGAATTCTCGAGGTTGATAGGACAAAAGAAAAATTTTCATCTACGGTTTGGAACTAGGAAAAATAATTTGAATACGAATGATCTTTTGATTTCCAATGTTTCTGAAGACACAACTGTGCAACCAACAACTCCACAGGCCTTGCTAATGGAAATTACAGTGTCTTCAACAACGGTTTCATCTTCTACTTCCACACCTGAAACAATTGCCCAATCGCATAAACGAAAAAGAGAATCAGTCAGAAGGTCTCTTTTTACCAGCAGTGAACAAAGGTTATAATCAAACAGTGTTTTTTACAATGTTCAGGTTTTTAACTATCATGCATTCATGTTTGTTAATTTTGCTTTTGCATTTAAATTAGTGACGTGGAAGAAAATTCAGAAGAAAATCCAAAAGACTTTGATGAAGTTCCAATCAAATTGTTAAGAAAAAAATCATCACTGATTTGTACAAGGACAGATCCTCTTGCTTTAAAAAAAGACTAGGTAAATATCATTTATCCTTATTTTTTTTCTTTCGGTGTAAATTTATTCAAAAATAAATTTGCCACATTGATCTAAATGTTTAGTTTTCATTTTCCTTTGCCCAGGTTGCTTTCCCAGTGGTGAAAAGTGCTTGACCAAAACTTCAGTTGTTTCAGACATCAAATTTACAGTCCTTTGTCAATATATGTATCAAACAATCTCTCTAATATTTTTGACCATGTAAATAGCTCCCTCTAATCTAGACAGCACAATATTTTTTGGTATGTAAATAATTATGTCTAACCTAGGGAGCATAATATTTTTTGCATGTAAATAGTCTAGCACTTTACAATCTTTAGTATCTAAGTGCTTTCATGCAGCACAATGGATGACTATTTTTTGTATGTAGATTACCAAACATTCTACAATCTTTTACCCTATAGATTACTTAAGCTAAACATTTTGTCTTTTAAAATTTTCCATCCTTTTGATTGTAAATAATTTTAATGTTGTTACACTGTTTTTACATGTTTCAAGCCGTGTCTGGTGCAATTGTTAATCCCGCAGCAACGCGCGGGTAGCTTTTTCTAGTATTCTTCTAAGATTCATGGAGCATGCTTCAGAGAGTCTTGTCATGCTAAGAGATTGATACACAAGAACATTACATATCTTAGTAATTTGGGTAGATAGCGTGGCGATCGACTTGGACCATTCGCGATGAATTGGGCTCGAGGACTTGTTGGCTGTGGGCTTCTAGAGAATGTGGTCCGTTAGCCCCCTTTAAGTTTGACTAACGGTCTGCATATTTTATCCAAAACAAAGTATTCATACACATAGTGTGTTTTCATTGGTCGAAATGTTTTATGTTCCCACATCTACCACAATGGTATGCTTATTGAAGCACAAGTTGTTTATTTTACCGTAGAAAACATTCTATACATACCACATAAATTTTCATTTAGTCGTCATGTGATAAAAATGGTCCGTCACCCTTATATTTCCAATTCAGAAGTAGGTTTCCATAGTTGCTGACCACCTAGTGACCGAAGAGTTGGACTTGTCACCACCATTGTCATCCTCGTCCAGCCTTTATATCTAAATAAACCTTTTACTTATGAAATTAATATGAGATCTTCACTCCTCCTATATGAAAACAAAAAGTACAGGAGGAAAGAAACCACTTCAGATGGGCTCAACTTGTTCTCGTGGCCTCTAAAAATCCGAAATTTCCAATTTGATCACTCAATAGGATAATACAAATCTCCATCTTCTCTCCCATAGTTTGAAGAACCTATGATGGAGGTATGCAACTTTGCATTTCTTAACCCTAAATCCATCTAAATTTTCCACGCTAGTAGTTGCTGTATCTACAATGGACAACTACACGAATTTAGGGGTTCGATTCTTCCTTCACAGCAGAACCAACTTTTTTTTAATGTCTGTTTTGAATGCCGAACAATTGCAACCTAGTTAGTTAATTTCCTAGTACAAATTTTTGTTTAGTTAACGTGATTGTGGTAATTATTTTGCTTGCACGACCAGGCTAATGGGGACCGCATCAGTAGACTACCTGATTGTGTTCTATCCTACATTAATTGTGTCGAAATTAAGTATGAAAGATTTGGTTAGAACCCGAATACTGTCGAAAAATGGCTAAATCTCTGGGAATCAAGGAGAAATCTTGAATTCGATTTTCCCAAAATGTTCGATCAATCATGAAGAACAAAATTCCTTATATAGTTGAAAAAGTAAAAACAGAAAGATTTCTTGTGAGAATTAAGGTTTTGTTCGTCAGTCTGATTTTCGACACAACAATCTTTTTTTTAAGCGAATGAGGACTTTCGTGAACTCTTTCGACAGCAAGTATTCTTTTTGGTTACTCTTTCGTTCATAGGTTGGTTGTCAAAGACGAACTCAACACAAATGATATTCTGAGTAACAAAAGAATATACTTGGTTATTAACAAGTCAACGAATGTCCCCATTTGCTCAAAAAAGATAATCATATGGAAAAAGGACACAGCAAACAAACCTTAACCCTTACAAGAAATCTAAAACGGCGATCCCAAGCTAACAAGGTTTACTGCTTCGCGAGGGTCGGAAGGAACAACCTCCTTTACTTTGCAAAGAAGCTGTTTCTACGACTTTAACCTATGATCTTTTGGTCACAAAGAAACAATCTTTCTATTTGCGCCAAGACTCGCTCTCCCTTACAAGAAATTTACACATTAATCAAAACTTTATATGCCAATTAAATAATCATGTCCCTAGTTCGAATCTCCGCTCTCAGTTGATGGAGTCCACCGAATGTTGCCATCATCTTCGGATATGTAGAAATGAACAGATTTTCACTGCACCCAAAACCAAAACAGTTTGAGTAAACATTTCGTCTATTCGGAAACGAAGTGTGGAGGTTTGTAATACGATTACCTTAACAAACCCGAGAATTCACGAATCCGAGATCGTCGTGGCAAAGCAACTGGCATAAGTTGCAGAAAGGAATGAGACAGAAAGTCGATCCATTATGTTTCTATCAGGACGAGTAATCTTCCATATAGACGCAGAGATATATATATATATATATATATATATGTGTGTGTGTGTGTGTGTGTGTGTGTGTGTGTGTATGTATGTATATTATACAAAACCTTGGCGAGGACGATATATAGAGAGCAGTTGAACAAAGCAGTGAGAGATGAAGTAATCGTGAACGAGAATGTGTCGACATTATTTGACACGGTGACGACACTTTTGTTCATCGACTGTTTACTTGCTTAATTAATCAACTGCACTCATGTTTACTTATATAAGAAGTAGGAGAAGTTATGACTCAAAAAATGAAAACAAGAAAGGAGAATGGTTAAGATTTAATTAAATAAGATTTTAGTTAAACTTAGTTAAATCTCAACCGTTCATCCCTGAAAAATGATGTGCACGAAGTTTTGTAGTTGAGTTGTGTTGAAATATTCTGCATCGACCGTATCTATGTTAAAAGAATAGTTTAAATATCTTAATCCAACTCCAACTAATACCGAGGTCTTTTGTGATAAAACCTCACACCTGCCGAAATGTGTAGGTGGTAAAAAACAAGTTTGGGACAATATAAGTGTTGTTGGAAGTTGGCCTCTGGTTCGTCTCTCTGATAATTCGACATGGTATCAGAGTCATGGAGTGGGTCTCTTGGCCCCTCGTATAGGGTGAGTCCCCTTGGCAGTATGGATTCGTGTTGAAATATTACATATCGACCGTATCTTTGAGAACACATATCGAATTGTGCAAGTGATAATTAACAAATTGAGAATAATATTGGTGTTTGGAAGTAAATCTTTGGCCCGTCTCTCTGATAATTAGACAGGCTCAACACGAACCAAGTCCAATGGATTTCTAGCAAGTTGGGTCAGTCCAATGAGAAACGTGTGTATGTAATAATTACCAAGTTGAAAATAATATTGGTGTTTGGAAGTAAACATTTGACCCGTCTTTCTGATAATTAGACAGGCTCAACACGAACCGAGTCCAGCAGATTTCTAGCAGTTGGGCCAATCCAACGAGAAACGAGCCCATTTGTATTGTATTTGCCTGCTAGACTGCTACCGACTGTTTGGAGTAAACAAAAGAAAAGGTGGAGGGGGAGGGCCATGTTAGCATGTTACCATGCTGTGTGTTGACATTCAAAATTTAATAGACAACGCCGGCCCATTGCCCATGTTGCCCCTATTTCAGGCAAAAATGATTAAAAAGGTAACTTTACACTTCAAACGCTTCCACTATCTTTAATGTGACCCATTGAAACTACCCTAATCACTTATAAGAGTTGTGAACGATCAACATGTTTACTTACTTGAAAGTGAAAGGTGGTAACGAGTCGTGAAAGTTAGAATGTGAAAAGAAATGAAATTGTACAAAATACATTACACTCATCCAATCTAGCTAATTCTCAAATTTTCGAGCATTAAATTACAAATTGTAAAGTGAAACCTATATGTTGATTTATCTCGACCTTCGTGTGTATCGGTAATCGCAAAAGAAATAAAGAATCCAACGTTCATTTGATTCACTTTATGTTACATCAAGTTTACTAATTTAGTACCTTTTAGACATGCAAAATAGTACATAGAAGAAGAATATCCTATAGCCCAACTGTTCTTTCTTCCTACATAGATTTGGTATAAGGAAAACTCCACTTCAATTGTCCGCCACTGTCTGTAAAGATTGGAGAGAGCCCTTGACTGATAAGGTAATAAGACCCTCCATAAACGCAGTTGTTTTCAAGTGCACAAGCAAATGCCATAGATGTTTGTCGAAACCGGATCAAACTCAAAACATCAGGTGCAAAGACTGAACACTCTTGCAAACTCCACTACAAAGCCCGTTGATCCCGCATATTCCTTATTTTCTACACAAACATAATTTTTTTTGTTGAAAATATGTAAACGACATTAAAAAGAGATAAATCGAACTCAGAATCTTGAACGCTAAGGTAAAATAACAAACGCTATAAGTCCTAAGTCGATTAGCCGTTATCTAATCCAACCACAACCTCACATTTTGTCACAACCACTTCTTTTCTGTCCGTTTCTCACACACACACACCCATCACTCACCCTCACGTTCCCTCGAGATCATAACAATAAAAATAATAATAATAAATAAATAAATCAACGTGTAAAATTTCCACACAAAACACCAAGGACCCTACACAAGATGATGAAAATCTCCACCCAAATAAAGGAGGCAGAGAAGCACACACCACACGGAAGCTTTCTAATCTGCCCTTCTTCATCTCCTCATTTTTTTCACCTTCCTCTCTCTCTAACACAGTCAGCCATGTTTGAAGAATCCGTGACATCCCTGCCTTCAATTTGGGCTTCCATGAACAGCTGGTTCACTCCCACTGTTCTCTTCCTCCTCCTCAATGTCATGATTGGCACCATCGCCATTGCTTCAAACTTGGGTTCCACCCAGAAACACCAGGACCCAGAGCAGCAGCACCACCAGAACCACCACCAAGGCGGAGGCCTCGCCAGATCTCCGTCTATGCTGCAGAGGCTCAAATCCATCAACCTCTACCAGTACAGATCCCCGGAGCCACACGCCGCCACTTTCGAAAAACCCCCGGAAACTACTGAGGATACCCATTACGCCTTTGAGCACGCCCACGAGCTTGAACAGCCCCAGTTCACCAGATCCCCTTCTCTGCTGCAGCGGCTCAAGTCCATCAATTTCCACATTCCACAAGATTTCTCCAACAACCCATCTCAGCACATCGCGGCCGCAGCCCCGCCGCACAAGACCCATGAGCCGGAATCCCATTTCGAGCAAGCTCCCGAGCACGAGGAGTTCCCAGATGACGACCGTTTGGAAGAACACGAGCACCCAGAACCAGAAACTCCAGATTTTTCAGAAGCAGGGGATAAACAGAGCGACCTGGAGGAGATTTTCAGCCAGCTGAAACCGTTACGGGACCGCCACGTGAACCGGACCAAGTCAGACACCAAGCCGGCGTCCGGCGAGGTGCCCGTCAAGCTCCCGCAGAAGATGAAGAAATCTGCGAGCTCCAAGTCTGCTTTTGCTCATTTCCAGGAGGATGATATCGTTGAGAGTCGCCGGCCGGCGACCGTGAGGGAGAGAAAGGTGGCGAAGATGGCGGAGGACGACGAGGAGGTGGACGCCAAGGCGGATGATTTCATCAACAAGTTCAAGAACCAGCTGAAGATGCAGCGGCTGGATTCGATCATAAGGTACAAGGACATGATCACTAGAGGGAGTGATAAGTGAGGGAGAATTTTAATTATTTTCCAGGATTTGGGTGGATTTTTAATTTCTCTTAATTTTGGGGTGGGCTGAGTGTAATGTAGATCTGCTCACTACTGCTCTGCAGCTTTCTGTCTGTTGAACTATTTGTTCAAACTTGTATTCCTCAGATTAATTCGCAGTTAGTACGTCACGGAACTGATTTACATGTAAGAAGAAACGACGGAGTAAGTATATTCATGCAAATTTGGTGATGAAAATATTTATCTTCGGCATTCCAGCCTACCAAGGATTTTAAACAATCTTTATCGTTTGATTATTTAAAATCGATGCTTAATCTTAACCGATCGGCTTCTAGTAATTCTATCTATCGAAGAAAAATTGATTGAAAATGTCATATCATCATTTGATTTTCTAGATTCAATCTTCACCGTTTATTTTTCGGACTTCTCAATAATTCTGTGAAAAATTGATTGAAAATGTCACGTTTGTTTTTCTAACTTTCCACTTTGTTGTACCCCATGTGGGTTTTGGGGTGTTGTGTAAGGAGTGGTAGCTGGCATTGGTTGGTTGCAGTCTTTGTTTTCCGTAATGAAATGAGAGGCTATCAGACATATAACAAGCCTCCTCAGTTCATATTTTGGCCTTTACAAATTATTCGTCAAGAAGGATTGCCGACAACGAAATTCAAATTTACACTTTAATTTAACGAAGAGAATAATTCTTACTAACTCAAACTCTCATTGGCGTTGGTTGCAGTCTTGTCTTGCAGAGTTGGGTTTGATATAGTGGTGGTGATATATGACTATATACACATTGCTGCCCACGGGATATTGCGATTTCATTTACGAATCTATACCAAAACGAAGAAGACTCCTTCCCTAATATCGCTTGTAACGAAAATTGAGTTCCTTTTATTTTGTGACCTTTTTTCATATTTACAAAGACTGTCGGAATAAGGCAACACAGTTGCAACGTCACTATTCATAATTATGTATCAAACTCATCACAAATATACATCATTTTTGCCAACGTGAGGCATCTTTTAACTATGTAGGAACGAACATTATTAAACTAAAGACTAGTTAGTTTTATTTTATTATAGTTTAGAAACGATCTGAACGGTTTATCTTAAAGAACACTATTTATAAATCATTCTTGCACAAAATTAGACAAACAAAAAATAATTAAGACATTTATTTGTAGTGAAGAAATACAGTTATACATGGAAACTCTAAACCCTTAATCCAACAATTACATGGTTTCAGATTTGGTTGATTTTTGGTAATCATGACCTTTAAGAGAAAACCTAAACAATAGATGATTCGTATTGTTGAAATACATTACGAAATGAAGCCTACACAAACGTATGTAAAACATTTGTAAAAAAAGTAGTGTTATATATCCAACCCTTTATACATTTGTATGGGGCAGTTTGGGCAAATCAGATTGGTATTCTTTCTCCAAAAAAGAAAAAAAAAATCAGATTGGTTTTCTTCCTTTGTGCTTATCCGCATATTTAGGTTGTGTAACACGTGGGGGATTTTGTTCAGTTATGTGCATTTTGGTTCTTCCAAATTTAAGATAATATGTGGATATATAATTTGCTAGGATTTACTTCTAATAGGATGATGATCCTTTTAGGATCCCTTTTGTGAGGATCTTAGGAATCCTCACATCATGACCATTTATCGTACATTATGCGGTCAGTTTTCGTTAGGTACTATTTGTGTTTAATATTAAATACAAAAATTCAAAATGATTTCTGACCGCACGATATATAATAAACGGTTAGGATGTGAGAATCCCTATAATCCCCATAATTTGAATCCGGATAGGATCCAAATCCCTACTAATATACCTCATACTAAATGTCTTCTTATTCCTTTGGTTGTGGTCCTCATATTATCAAAGTCTTATACTCACCTCTGAATGCGGATCATCAAAGGGACCAACATTAGAGGGTAAAAACCCACTTTTAATCTTTAACTTAAGCACTTCTAGATACAACGGGTCTAAATTATCCTTTTTAATCTCCATCATTACTATTAATTTCTACCCTTGATCATTAGGTAATTATTTGAAATGTATCGGTATAATAACGCGCTCACAATAGAGTTGCGGTGTGGTTAACAACTAGGTATCAAATTTATAACAAACGTATATCGTTCTCAAAGGTCGAACTCGAGATCACCTCCCCCGAGAAAAGTTTCAACAACTAGATTATGAAACCTTTTTAGTTAAGACACTGGGGTTTGTGATGAGATTGTGAAGTTTGATGCTTAGGAATTAAACAAATTAAAAGGATGAGATGCTCTAATTTTTGTGGAAGCAAAGCATTGTCGTTTATAGGTCTTATAGCTCGATACAATAATTGATTAATTGTAATTTTGGAACACACACAGAGATACCTTTGAGTCTCACAAACTTTAACAACTTTAGCCAGTGGTTTTATGGATAGGTCTACTAAGATGCTCAACTTGATGATTATTATTTAATTAAATAACCAAGTTGTTAAAATAAAAATACTTAATGAAAACCATAAAAATAAGGGAACTTTAACGAAAAGCACCGGTACTGTTCACTTTAACGAAAAACAACATTTTTACACTAAAAAGTCAATCCTGGTACTATTCACTTTACCCTTTATTTTGTCCTTATCATTAAAACTCAAAGTTTTCAAGCGCTTTTCATTAGTTTTCCTTAAAAATAAATAATAAAAAATGTAAATATAAATAAAAAGCAAAAAAAAAAAATTATATGTACTTGGGAAGTTGTATAGGATCGAAGTTTAAGGGCTCGTTTGGAAGTGCTTTTAAAATGATTAAAAACTTTTTTGGTGAAAATGTTTTAAAAATAATTCTGTAGTAAAAATGAAAGTGAATCTTGAAAAGTTAGCACAAGTTGGTTCTGTTGGTAAGGTCCATGTATTGTATCTTGCCCCACCAAGGTTCGAGTTTCACTGCCAGCAATCATGTGTTGGTGGGCAATCTGTAAAAACTAACAAAGGGGGCACATACCTCTTTGTAAGTTCTCAATGAGGCTTGTGGTATGCCCTAGCTTTGGGATAGGATAGCTTTCCCTTCCCTCAAACTTCCTTTTACACAAAAAACAATGATTCATGAAAAAGTACTTGAAGTATTTCATAAAAGCTTTATAAAAAATCTTCAAATGTTTTTGAAATCTAATTTTTTTTTTTAAATTCAATAATTTAAAAAAAAAGAATTGTTATTAACACTCTAAAAATCTCATTCTACATTCCTCACAAGTGTTTTTTTTTTTTTAATTATAGAAAATTTAAAATATCAAATAAGATTTTTTGAATGTTGATAACAATTCCATTTTAAAAACACTTTTAAACTAGTGGAGAAATAAGGGCAGATTAAGCAAAAATTGTGAGAATATTTTATGCATATTCTGCCTGATTGAATGCCTCTTGAGAGCAACTCCACCAATGGTGGTTGCTCGGGGGACAGGCTCCAGGAAAGGGCCCGAGGGCCGGTGGGTAGGCCTCCAGCCTTGGAGAGCCTGAGTGAGGGTGGGAGCCCGAGGGCCAGGCCTGTTGCCCAAGGCCTGTGACGTCAAGCTGATGCAAGGCCTGCGTCCGGCCTTTTTTTTTAAATTTTTTTTGTGTCAGGCGTGTGCCCCTCACTCGTGAGTGGGGGCGCATCGCCCGACCGGAATTCAGGGCACGAGCCCGTGCGCCTCAGAAAACCCAGTGACCGTTGGGAAGCCACGTGGCTTCCCACGGTCCATTCGATCCCAACGGCTCTTTAATACGAGCCGTCCAATTTGCAACGGTAATAAAAATAAAAATAAAGCTGATTTTATATCAACCGTTCGATCTGAGATCAACGGTTGATATTAATATGCTTTATAAATTAAAAAAGAAAAAGAAAAAATAGTTTTAAAATTAAGAAAAGTTACCATTGTGACACGTGGCACAATATGGAGTGTTGGAATTCAAATTTTTTAAACTCCAATGGCAGAAATTAATTATTTGAATAAAAATTTTAAAAAAATTGTAAAAAATTGTAAAAAATCTGAAAAAAAATTTGTAAAAAATTGTTTTTACTTTTCTATAAATACCACTTTTTCTCCATCTACCTTACACCACAATTTTATATTTTCTCAACTACTTTCAATCAAATTCCTATCTTTCTCTCAAAGTTTCAATCCAATTTTTTTCCACAAAATGACTACTGATGCAGGTACGAATTGGTCGCTTCATGAAGATGTTGCGTTGTGCACTAGCTGGGTTGAAGTTACTCATAATTCCCTTACGGGTAATGAGATGCGAATTGGTCGCTTCATGAAGATGTTGCGTTGTGCACTAGCTGGGTTGAAGTTACTCATAATTCCCTTACGGGTAATGAGATGCAGTTGCGAGAAATGTGGACTTTAATTCATACCAAATTTCTTGAGCAAATGGGTGGGAAAAGAACCAAAGAGGAAAGGGAGTGCTTCCAAGAATGATTATGGAAAGTACATGCAAAAACTTGCTCGTCAAGGTGAATTGACGTTGGCGCGGGAATTGGCGAAATATGAGGCTGAAAAGGCTAGAAATGAGGCAAAAGTTGCAGTTATTCAACAAGCATTTCAAGCTGAACAGAGGGAAAAAGAGCTACTTATGCAAGAAAGGGAGTTGCTTAGAGAAGAAAGAATTGCACAACGAGATCGTAACATTATGAACACGCATTTAGAAGGGATGGCTTCAAATTCTAAATATTTTTTGCAGTCGGAGAAAGCGGATGTGGTGCAAAGGAGGCGTGCAAGAGAAGCGAGATCAAGACAAGATGGTCCTAGCACAACAAGACAAGATGATCCTAGTACCACAGATTGGTTAAGTGATGATGAATAGGGAACTTTTTGTAATCGGAGCCCATAGTTTTCCAATCACTTTGGGTTGTAATTTATTATATATGTTGTTTCCAATTTATTAAAGTTAGTACTTTATTTAAAGTGAGAGTACATTTATTTAATTTCGTAATATATTTATCCTAATAATAGAATCTTTATTCATCAAATTGTTCACGTATAATGAAATTATAAAACACACCAAATAAAACTAAAAAACTCACCAAATGAAATTACATAAACACACCAAATAAAATTACATAAACATACCAAATAATAAAAAACTCACTACAAAAAACACACCAAATAAAATTATATAAACACACCAAATACATAAATGTGTTGGATTATGGATGGAAAATGACATACACTTCTACAAATATGTGGCTTCTCACACCACGAGCATCTTCAGTGGAGTCTCTATATAAGGACAACTATAGTATAAAATGAGTATTAAATTAATATAGGAACAATGAATCTTCAATGTATCAAAAAGTGAGTCCTTAAAATATAGAGACTCGTCGGATATTCGGTGTATGTACCCACATATAGGAACTTTATAGGGACTAAAATAGTGAACACAATAGGACAATTTAAGTAGAAAAGCAGGCGTGGGTCCCAGTCACTTAAAAACCTCAAATTTAGGGATTATATTATAAAGACTCTCCCGTTTGAGGCAATATTCATTTAGGGACGCACAAATTCCTTTTAAGTCCTTAAATGAGTACTCAAAGGTAGTGATGGGAGTCCCTAAATAGGGGTTCACATTGGAGATGCTCTACTCCTAGTGTACATGCACACAAATACTATTATCAAACATATATTTTGAGCTGGTTCAATTGGTAAGGTTGTTGTCTTGTATGTCACTCTATGAAGATTTGAGTTTCGCTACCAACAATTTTGTGTTAGTGGGCGATCTTATAAAACCGAAAAAAAAGGACATGGACTTCTCTATAAATCTTCAAAAAGGTTTGTGGTATACTCTGATCCTGTGATGCAGTAGCCTCTCTTCCATCTAAACTTTCATTCACGGAAAGATCATATATTCTAAACTAATAATTCTGTCTATTGAAGAAAAATTGATTGAAAATATCATGTTGTCATTTGATTTCTAGAATCGACGTTCAATCATCACCGATTATTTTTCGGACTTCTCAATAATTCTGTGAAAAATTGATTGAAAATGTCACGTTTGTTTTTCTAACTTTCCACTTTGTTGTACCCCATGTGGGTTTTGGGGTGTTGTGTAAGGAGTGGTAGCTGGCATTGGTTGGTGGCAGTCTTTGTTTTCCGTAAAGTTTATGAAATGAGAGGCTATCAGATATATAACAAGCCTCTTCAGTTCATATTTTGGTTTTTACAAATTGTTCATCAAGAAGGATTGCCAACAACGAGATTCAAATTTACACCTTAATTTAATGATGAGAACAATTCTTACAAATTCAAACTCTCATTGGCGTTGGTTGCAGTCTTGTCTTGCAGAGTTGGGTTTGATATAGTGGTGGTGATATATGACTGACTATATACATATTGCTGCCCACAGGATGTTGAGATTTCTTTTACGAATCTATACCAAAACGAAGAAGAATCCTCCCCTAAAATCGCTTGTAACAAAAATTGAGTTCCTATTATTTTATGACCTTTTTTCATATTTACAAGGACTGCCGGATTAAGGCAACACGGTTGCAACATGACTATTCATAATTATGTATCAAATTCATCACAAATATACATTATTTTTGCCAACGTGAGACATCCTTTAACTATGTAGGAACGAACATCATTAAACTAAAGACTAGTTAGTTTTATTTTATTACAATTTAGAAACGATCCGAACATCTATCTTAAAGAACACTATTCATAAATTATTCTTGTACAAAATTAGACAAACCAAAAATCATTAAGACATTTTTTTGTAGTAAAGAAAATGAAGGATTACAGTTATACATAGAAACTCTAAACCCTTAATCCAACGATTATATTGTTTCAGATTTGGTTGATTTTTGATAAACATGACCTTTGAGAAAAGACCTAAACGATAGACGGTTCAAATTGTTGAAACACATTACGAAGAAAGGCCTACAAAAACATATATAAAAAATTTGTAAAAAAAGTAGTGTTGTAGATCCGTCTCTTTATACATATGTATGGGGCAGTTTGGGCAAATCAGATTGGTTTTCTTCCTTTGTGCTTATCCGCATAGGGGATTCTGTTCCGTTATGTGCATTTTGGTCTTCCAAATTTAAGATAATATGTGGATATAATTGGCTAGGGTTTACTACTAATATACCTCATACTAAATGTCTTCGTATTCCTTTGGTTGTGGTCCTCATATTATCAATGTCTTATGTTCACCTCTGAATGCGGATCATCAAAGGGACCACATTAGAGGGTAAAACACCACTTTTAATCTTTAACTTAAGCACTTTTAGCCTTTTTAATCTCCATCATTACTATTAATTTCTACCGTTATCACTAGATAATTGTTTGAGATATATCGGTACAATAAGGCGCTCACAATAAAGTTTGCAGTGAAATTAACAACTAGGTATCAAATTCATAACACACGTATATCGTTTTCGAACCTGTATGGTCGAACTCGAGACCTCCTCGAGAAAAGTTCCAACAACTAGATTATGAAAGTTTTATAGTTTGACATTGGGGTTTGTCATGAGATTGTGAAGTTTGAGGCTTCGGAATTAAACAAGTTAAAAGGATGAGATGCTCTAATTGTTGTGGAAGCAAAGCATTGAATCCGGATTCTCGTTGGATCCTCTTTGTGAGGATCTCGGGGATCCGTGAATCATATCTGTTCATTGTATATCGTGTGATCAGAAATTATTTTAAATATTTTTATTTAAAATTAAATACAAACAATACCTGATAAAAACTGACTGCACAATGTACGATAAACTAACACAATTTACGGATTCCCAAAATCCTCTCTAGATCATCACCAAAAGGAGAGGATCCTATTGGCAAAGCATTGTCGTTTGTAGGTCTTATAGCTTAATACAATAATTGATTAATTGTAATTTTGGAACACTCACGGAGATACCTTTGAGTCTCACAAACTTAACTACTTTAACCAGTGGTTTTATGGATAGGCATAGGTCTACTAAGATGCTCAACTTGATTATTATTATTATTTAATTAAATAACCAAGTTGTTAAAAACTTAATCAAAACCATAAAAATAAATAATAAAAATGTAAATAAAAAAAAAAAAAAAAAATATATATATATATATATATATATATATATGTACTAGGGAAGTTGTATAGGATCTAAGCTTAAGGGCTTGTTTGGAAGTGTTTTTTAAATAACTAAAAACTTTTTTGGTGAAAATGTTTTAAAAATAATTCTATAGTAAAAATGAAAGTGAATCTTGAAAAGTCAGCACAAGTTGGTTTTGTTGGTAAGGTCCATGTATTGTATCTTGCCCCACCAAGGTTCGAGTCACATTGTCAGCAATCCTGTGTTGGTGGGCAATATGTAAAAACCAACAAATGGGGCACATTCATCTCTGTAAGTCCTCAACAAGGCTTGTGGTATGCCTAGCTTTGGGATATGATAGTTTTCCCTTCCCTCAAACTTCCTTTTACACAAGAAACAATGAGTCATGAAAAAGTACTTGAAGTATTTGATAAAAGCTTTATAAAAAGGGAATTGTTATTAGTATTCCAAAAATCTCATTATACACTCCAACTTTCTATATTATAAAAGAAAAATACACTTGTGAAAAGTGTAGAATGAGATTTTTGGAGTGCCAATAACACTTCCTTATAAAAAGTTTCCAAATGCTTTTGAAATCTAAAAATTTTTTTTTTTAAAAACAACTTCAATAATTTTAAAATGGAATTGTTATTAGCACTCAAAAAATCTCATTCTACACTCCTCACAAGTGTATTTTTCTTTATAATTATAAAAAGTTTGAAGTGCCAAATAAATTTTTTTGAGTGCTAATAACAATTCCCTTTTAAAAACACTTTTAAACTAGTGGCGAAATAAGGGCAGATTAAGCCAAAGTTGTGGGAATATTTTATGCATATTCTGTCTGATTGAATGCCTCTTGATTGGAAATTATTAGTTTCTGCAGTGAGTCTGGTGGCAGTGTCGAATTATCATTGTAGCATAAATGTGTTGGATTTTGGATGGAAAATGACATACACTTCCACAAATATGTGGCTTCTCACACCTTGGGCATTTTCAGTGGAGTCTCTAAAAACAATTATCATATAAAATGAGTATAAAATTAATATAGGGACAATGAATCTTCAATGTATCAAAAAGTGAGTCCCTAAAGTATAGAGACTCGCCGGATACTTGGTGTACCCACATATAGGAACTTTATAGGAACTGAAATAGTGGACCCAGTAAGACAATTTAAGTGGAAAAGCAGGTGTGGCTTCTAGTCACTTAAAAACCTCAAATTTAGGGATTCTATTATAAGGACTCTCCCGTTTGAGGCAATATTCCTTTAGGGACACACAGATTCCCTTTAAGTCTTTAAGAGCAGCTTTAGCGGGGCTTGTAGCCAGATGGACTGCCTATCAAACAGGGCCGAAACGCCCAAGCGTTTGCATGCGATTGAGCCCGAACGGGCCCGAGGGAGAGGCCCGGCACGAGTAGCCAGCCCGAGAGCCCGAGGTGGAGATGATGCAAGGTTCACGTTAGGGCAACGCCAGCCATGATTTAAAACATGGGTCATTAGACCCCTCGAGGGAGAAACATCGGAATATTTGGTAGGGATTTATCCTGATTTCGATCTCGACTTAAAACTATATTGCAATTTAAGCACAAAAATTCTGCTAAAATGAAAAAGGAACAAGATTCTACCACTGTGAGTAGCAACCGTGGTCAAGATTGGCCGGGTTTGGTCACGGAGCGTGCCGGATTTTGGAAAAACGAAACAGAAAGCATGCACAGCGAAAAGAACAAAATTTAACAATTAAGTCTTCACTCGGAATCACAACACCAAGAAGAAAATCTCAAATATTCAAAGGAACAAGGAAATCTCACATGAAACTACAAGCTAGATCTTGAAGCTCTCGGGTTTAGGGTCACTGCACTTCCCAGTGCACCGATGGTGCATGCAAAGACCCGGTTATGTTCCTAAAACATTGAAAAATAAACAAAATGGTAAAAAAAATCCATGATCGAAAGCTTGAATTTTGAGTATACCTGGTGGTTTTTGGATGAAAATCCCAATTGGAGGAGACCCAAATCCAATATAACGCAGATAAATTACAGAAAAAAATTAAATCCATATTCGTTTTCTGGAAAATTGATAAAGTGAGAGAGGGATGAAGAAAAATGAAAAAACACAAAAGCTGAGAGGAAAGAAAGCAAGGTGTGGGGGCTGCAGAAAGAAGAAGAAGAAGAAGAAAATGGAAATTGTAGAGAGAGATGTGATGGGGGAGAGATAGAGAGAGAGGGGGGGGTTTGGAAGGAATGACGAGCTACCAGGCGTCCAAATATAAAGTTCAAATATGAGCAGGATCACTGCACTTCCCAGCGCACCGATGGTGCATGCAAGGACCCAATTATGTTGCCATGAGTCCAAATATACAAGTTCCAAGTTCACAATGTGAAGAAATGGTAGAGAATTATTGTGATGCTCTAGGTGTTCTATCCGAAATTACAAATAAAATTATTTTGTATTATTTTATAAAATAAAAAATACTAATATTTTATTATCTATTGTCAGGGCTATTCAGTTTTAGGGGTGAAGATGCAAAATGCAATTACTGTTCATTAATGACAGTTACTGTTCACTAGGTGGATTAAATAGTGAATAGCCTTATGGGGCCTTTGCAACGGTGGAGTTGCTCTAAATAAGTACTCAAAGGTAGTGATGGGAGTAATAGGGACTCACATTGGAGATGCTCTACTCCTAATGTACATGCATACAAATACTATTATCAAATGTATATTCTGAGCTGGTTCAATTGGTAAGGTTGTTGTCTTGTATGTCACTCTACGAAGGTTTGAGTTTCGGTGCCAAAATTTTTGTGGTAGTGGGCGATCTTATAAAACCAAAAAAGGAGACACAGATTCTTCTGTAAATCCTCAAAAAGGTTTGTGGTATACCTTGGTACTGTGGTGGGGTAGCATGTCCTCCATCTAAACTCTCATTCACTGAAAGATCATATATTCTAAACTAATAATTCGAGGCTACGTGTTGTAATTTTTCACATATCGTCATATGATTTGTCTTAAAATCTTAATTTTTTGCAAAAAATTTCAGTGCAATATGTGTAAAAATTTTAAACTAAATAGAATCTGACATTAATTTTATTAATCTTATATCACTTGAGTTAAATCTTTTACGCAAAAATAAAGGCATTTAACTTCGACGTGTTCTCTTCTCGCATGTAATGAGAGGGATAAATTACAGAGAAGGCTCTATATATCGTTGGTGACACTAGCTCAAAATTATTAAAATACAAAAAAAAAAAAAAAAACTTTAACGAAAAGCACTTGATACTGTTCACTTTAACGAAAAATCACATTTTAAAACTAAAAAGTCAATCATGATACTATTCACTTTACCCTTTATTTTGTCCTTATCATTAAAACTCAAAATTTTCAAACTCTTTTCATTAGTTTTCATAAAAAAAACTGTACTGATAACATGTTGAATATTAAAAAAATAAAAACTAATGAAAAAAACTTAAAAGCTTAAAAATTTAACTGTAAAGATAAAATAAAGAAGACGAAAGAAAAATCAAACAGACACCGTGAATTACTACCGTGCGCGACTGTCTTTTATTGATAAAGAAGCGGGTGGATACGAAGTGGCGCGACGGCCTTTTGACTTCTACCTACTGTCATCTATTGATATATCACAGACAATTTTACACCATTGATTACCAACATCAATCCCACGTGGGATATTTATGGTCCTGACACGTCTGGCCTGTAGCCAAACCAAAACAACAAAACAAACGACTCGACGGGTCCATTCCGAAAGGGGCTTTTTCCACCACCACCACCACCACAAACCACCACCGCGAAGGTGCCGAACCAGTCAGTAACGTTTGTCGAAAAGAAAGTTGGCACTTCGTCGAACATATTCGAATCATTAATAGAAAGAGGAAAGAAGAGCAGTGAGTGAGTGACTTTTAGAGAGAGAGAGAGAGAGGGATGGTGTGGATGGCAACTCAGCAGCTTGCAATCAGAGGGAAGAGACGGCGGATATGGGGAGGAGCGTTTCTGTGTTGGGTTTTGTTAATTCTGGTCACTCCCAAGATTCCTCACTCCCCCAAACACCATCTGTACGCCGACATGCGCAATCTTCTGGGTAATTTTTCTCATTTTCTCTCTTTTTTTTTCTGAAATTTATGTTTTTGTTTGATTTTATGATCTGGGTTTTTCACAGGAGTGCCTAATACCTTGAACGTGATCACAAATTTCCCCTTTTTGGTTGTTGGCGCTCTGGGTTTTGTGCTCTGCGTGCAAGGGGGGTTTTTCAACATCAGGTTTTGCACTTTCTGGATTATGTATTACTTCGTGCAGTGATTTTGTTTGTTGCATTGATTTGAATGGAGTTTTGAATATTTTTTTTTTTTTGGTTGGTGTTGTTTGGAAACTGGTTTTAGTTTGCCAGGCGAGGTTTGGGGTTGGGCGCTATTCTATGCTGGAACAGCAGGGGTTGCATTTGGGTCTGCTTATTATCATTTGAAGCCTGCCGATAGTAGAGTAGCGTGGGACACCTTGCCGGTTAGTATTTCAATCAGTCTCAAGATCACTCGGTTTTAGCTGTTATTAGTGACACTTGCTCTGGTTGTTTGTTTGTTCATTTGTTTTCGTTTTCGTTTTCGTTGAGATGCTTGAGAGAGTTATTAGTGACACTTGCTCTAAAAATATCCATTAGTTGATGATGAATAATTGAGAAAACAATCCTGAAACATTCCCGAGTTGCAGTTTTGTACATGAATTCGAAAGTATATTCTGTTGTCTTTAGTCTTGAACTTCTGTTGCACCGTTGATCCTTCCGTTAATTTCAAAATCAGAAGTGTGTACTTAACAATTAATCAAATTTTCACTCAGAAGGGAAATATGAATGTGTTGTGGTGCAATTGTTTACCACGGGAGGTTCCTAGAAAGAGCATGAGTGAAAGAAAGTAATCAATTGTTGAGGTCCATGATTTTGTTGTTAACCAAGTATCTGGATCCTAGTCATGCACAATCCGTTTCTCTCTGTTTATTTTCATTGTTGAAGTAGATTCTGAATTGCAGATGATGATTGCATACTCCTCCCTTTTCTCTAGTTTTATAGTGGAGAGACTGGGAGGACGGATCGGTTTAAGCTGTCTGTTTGCACTTCTTTTCATTGCTTTTCTTAGCATTGCATATGACAGGTTAGTGTTGTGCTTTAAGTTTTGTATTATCTCCGCTGCGGTCTTGTGTTAAACACTTAATGGAGGTATGGATGAGTTTCTTTGCAGAACGTGTAATGATATCAGGTTGTACATGATGTTCCAGTTGATTCCGTGTATAGCAATTCCAACAATGTCATCTGTGTTCCCACCAAAATATACTCACTCAAGATATTGGCTTTGGGCCGCAGGTAGGCCATGTTCGTTAATCTTTATTTTCTTGAGTAAAAATAGTATGATTTGTTAATCAGTCCATTTACCGCTCCCTGCACAAGTGATTCTGTGTACAGAAATGGTATTTTTATTAGTCCGTTGTAAACCTTTTCGTTTGTGAGTGTAGCTTATTATAATATCTATATTACTAAAGCATTCCACCAAGGATCATTCCGATCCAATGAGAACTGTTGATTACTACAAAGTATAGAAGCAATTCATTCTTCAGTGAAAAATAAAAGCAAATTCTTTACAGGGGTTTACCTTCTCTCCAAATTTGAATCTGTTGCTGACAAAAAAATCTACCGTGCAAATCATTTCATTATCAGCGGACACTCGTTGGAGCATTTGTGTTTAGTGATGGTCCCTGTTCTGCTCAGTATTATGCTCATGAATAGAAAGATTAAATGTCAAAGGTGCGATAGTTTTGTATTTCGTTTGTACTTTTCTCACTATATCATGATCTGTATGAAATGAAAGGTTAAATTGTTTGCCTTTTCTTGTTGGTTTAAAATGGCTATCCCATGTTTCCGTTTTTTACTGATGTGATTGAATTTATTGGCTGAAACTTGGGGAAATTCGGGAAAGTACTTCCTCCTCTTACATAATGGTCTTGATAACAGAATAGACGCCTTTAAAGAATGCTTGTGATAGAGGCAAAGCAGAGATGATGGCGTTTTCTGCGCAGCGGCTATCAGATGCTCGAAAACTTTCTGTAAATGAGGAGTCATTGGAGGTAAAAGACTGCTCCGTAGTACTCTCCAGTTTTAGTCAAACATGTGTCTCTGCCATTGAGCAATTAGATTAATCAATTTTGGGTTGAATAAATTATTATCCAAGTGCAAAACAAACATGAATTTAGTCAAGCATGTCCCTTCCCCTCTAATGAACTGCTCTCTCCCTGCGGCTGTGACGTGGTGACTGCCCATTGGCCGCCACAGCGCAGGGGAAAGTGAAAGAGGTTCAAAGGCCAAAGTTTTGTAACTGTAGATACTGTGATTGTGTCAAACCCTAAATTTGAGTATGGATATAGTCTGTGCGAGGGCAGCCGACCTCACTTATTGGAATAAGACTTTGATGTTGTAGTTGTAGTAAAGCTTCTGAGGGAATAATTGAAATTACATATATCACCTTTAGAGCACATGTTTGGCATTGGCACAAAATTCCTTCACATGCATACATGTGCACAAAGGAACAAAGGCATGTTTTTGTGTCATGTGATGTCAGCCTTGTTTTAGAATTTAGGAAAGAGATCCTCTCCGGATCCCTTCCTCCTAATCCACCAAATCAGGGAATCCGTGCCGTTGAAATTTGATCCGGAGAGGATCCCTTTCCTAGAATTTATATGAACATTTATTTTTTAGAATATTATGTATTAAAAGTAAATACTCATATAATGTAACAATTGTATTTTATGGACTGGAGGAAAGCAGCCCAAACCAACACATTCCCATTTCAACCCAGAATCCAAAGTTGGTGGACCCATCAGCATCAAACTTCTGTTTCCCTTGGCAAAGCCCAAACTGATAAAAGAACGATGACAACTATACACCTCAAAGTGAACCGATATTGTAATCTACTCTAATTTACTTGGAATGAGATCCGAACTAGGGTACAAGAGAGTCAAGACACTGTCGTGATCAATTGTCGTAACTTGCATCTGTCATTTCCTTCCACCATTTTGTTGCTTAATCAAAGTGAAATTAGGGTTCATCGAAATCAGGTTCAACCGTTTTAAATGAAAATCTTGTGCAACTGGTGGATTGTCCTAGGATCAAACTCCGTCAGTTGATTGACATACAGCTGGTTCCAAAAGCGATAAAAAACTTTACGATACGAGGGGAATTTCCATAGAAACTTTACCAACAAAATTTGGTGGGCACAAGGCTTAGTATCCCATTATTGTCACACTCATATTAACAATGAGAGTAGGAGATAATTTTGTTAATTGTGTTCAAGACTTAGGAGTAAAGTTAATGCAACCACAGACTGAGCCACACTGAGCGTGATTAGTTAACTAATTACTGTGGAAGCTGCGTCAAAGTCATGATTAATAAATTATTGTTAACCTGCTACCTAGAGTCGTCGGTGGGGGTACTATTTGCTTTTATGGACCTTGCTTCCTTGTCTCTTCTCTCGTTTCCCTTACTATAAATAACATTTTACATATTTCCCAATTTTAAAAATAAAATTAAAATTGATCCTTCACCAACCAAAATGCTAAATGGGTCCAATTTAATGTCGTAATACAATATTTAAAATATAAAAAAAAAAATCATTTCTACACCATAACTTTCTTTTTATGCGCACGTCTTTTTTTTTTATCAAAATATATTATTTACATTAAGAGGGTGAGTGAGTGAGAGTGAGTTAAGGCTCACAATTGACTAACAATAATGTGACTCAAATTCATCTTTGGCAAGAATCGAACCTAAAACCTCTCACTTAAAGGTGAATAGGAATATTAGTAGACCGTAGTACTAAGTGGCCTCTCGGTTCAATAATAGCACGCACACGTCCGATTTAAGGTAAAAATTACACTAGTGTGTATATACAGAGAAAATGAGTGCATGAAAATCATTTTTATTAAAATTTAAGTTGTTTATAAGCATATAGGCTGATTTTGGTCATTCATGCATGTCAATGAAGATAGAGCTTTTGTGTTTGCAGATTCTCAAATTGCTGCTTTAGTGCCTGCTTCGTGGGGTGGTGAATCAGATACTTGGAAATTATTCTCAGAAGTATAAATTGTCAAGATCAGCTCACACGGTCGTGCTCCTAATACTTCGCCATTTAATATTCATATCATGTTCTTTTCTTAATGTCCGATTACAAATCAAATTATGCGCGTAACAAATACTCGACGCTCATTAAAGCATGATCTGGTTACTTACCACCTACCTACCCTAAGTATGTTCATGAAAATATATAAAATAAAGGTGATGTTATCCACACGCATTATTTTAGCTTCTACAGGCTACACACCTCATGTTAATTTCTATTGTTTAATCATTTTTAATTCATTCAATCTGGCAGTTGAAAATTAAGGGAGATATGTAAAAAGTAAAAAATAAGTGTGTGGATAGCACCGCTCGTAAATATGGAAATTGCCATTATGTCAATTTTTAAGGAAGGTTAGGCTCTGACCCAAAAAAAAAATGGAAGGTTAGGCATCAACATTAGAAGGAAAAATAGAAATCCATCAACAAAATGGAAATTATGCAGAAGAGATTGGACCCCGCATTTCTGACAATTCACTCCATCACATCTGGACCATACAAACTAGATCACATGTCGAAATCAAACATAGGAGGATTTATTTGTCTTCTCATTTGTATTATTTTTATTGAAAATTAATTATTGGAGGCTTTAGTTGGTAAGCTTGGAAGGGATCCTCTTCGAATCCCTTTCATCTAATCCTCCTCATCAAACAATTTGGATTCTTGAAATTTGATCTAACGGCTGAAGTTATTATAACTTTTAAATATGCCTGTGTTTTTAGTCGTTTGATCAAATTTCAAAGGTCCGGATTATTTGATGAGAAAATTAAGGTGAAAGGGATCAGGAGAGGATCCCTTTCCTGTAAGCTTAGTGGCAGCGATTAGTGATTAGTAATTAATGATTAGTGATTGGTAATATTTACAGGTGAAGAAATTTACAGGAAAGATCCATCTTAACATTGTGTGAGGTGGAAGCATCATCCCCCTATTTTTTTGGTTCCTCCGTTCTCTTTCCCTTCTCATCCTTCTCACTCCTCCATCTTCCCTCTCCAAAACCTCACAATTTCCACACCAATCCAGACCCTCTCTCTCAAATCCAATTCCAACCCATTTCTCGCCATGACAGACCGAGTCTACCCATCTTCCAAACCCAATGCCAACGGCGGCGCCGCCGCAGCACCCGCCGCACCCGCCGCCGCAACAACCGCCGGTACCACAGCCAACCCACCAAGTACCAAACCCCAACTCAGACAGCCATACCGCCCGAAACCCCAGTACCACAACCGTCACCACCGCCGGAGCAGCCGCAATTTATGCTGTTGCTGCTGCTTCTGGTCCTTCCTCATCCTCATAGCCCTCGCCCTCCTCGCCGCCATAGCTGGCGCCGCGGTCTACATCCTCTACCGCCCCCACCGCCCCGAGTTCACCCTCACGTCCGTCCGCATTGCGAAGCTCAACCTCACCACCACCGCCGACTTCTCGACATCCCACCTCGCCACCCTCTTCAACCTCACCCTCACCTCCGAAAACCCCAACAACCACCTCACCTTCTCCTACGATCCCTTCACTCTCTTACTCTCCACCACCAGAGACGTCCAAGTCGCAAACGGGTCGATCCCGGCGTTCACGAGCGCCACGAAGAACAGCACCTTCTTCCGCTCCGTACTGTCAACGTCGCAGGATCTCGACGTCGAGTCGGTGAAGTCGCTTAGATCGGATCTGAGGAAGCAGAGCGGGGTGGCGCTGAAGCTGCAGATAGACACCGAAGTGAAGCTGTCGATGGGGAAGCTGAGGAGCAAGAAGGTGGGGATTAGGGTTACGTGTGAAGGAATCAAAGGGGTTGTACCAAAAGGTAAGACACCGTCGGTGGCTTCCGTTTCCAACTCCAAGTGCAACGTTGATCTTCGGATCAAGATCTGGAAATGGACCTTTTAATCACTTTTATTTTCTTTATTACTTAAATCGTGGGTTTTTCGATGGGGGATTTGTAAACTTTTGAGAAGGAGGATTAAAAAGATAAAACAAAATGGTGATCACAAGAAAAATTAAGTAGGATTTTAAGTGCAAATTTGGGGTTCAAATTTGAATCCATCTCTTCTTTTTTCTTTTCATAATACTTTTTGGGGATTGTAAGTGATGAATTTGGCTTTTTATGGCAATTAATTTTCATATTATTTTCTATTTCATGCTACATTATTATTATTATTATTATTAGTATTGTTGTGTAATTTGTCTTCCAATTATGTGGCATTTGGCTGAGTGTAATAAGTGCATACTTTTCAGTGAAGGCCAATGAACAGAGCATCACTAAAATGCCCTAATTAGAACACAACCTTTGATTACACGGTAGAATCTCTCGTAATTAGGCAGCTCGGTTGCATTTCTCGTAATTACGTGTAATTGTGCATTCAAGGATAACAGAACCAAAAATGCTAGCTGTTTTGCTTTGCTTTTAAGCTGTTTTTATGGTGTTATGATTCTTCTTCTCCGCTCTACGTTTTGTTTTGGAGCGATAATTTGTTTACCTATCTCTCTCATGTTCTTTGATTTGGAATCTTGATGCTAGAAACAAAAGAATAAGTGCAGAAGAAGAAGAATAATGAGTGCGAAATCACTTTGCTTGTATTCGTGTGTCCCATCAACTCATGTTAGAGAACAAATTTCCTAGAAAAGTGCTTTTCTTGGGTAAAATACTTGTCTACGCATTTAGGTGGAAAAAGTAAAAGGCAGTGCTGTTCATGCACGCACCTCTTTTTATATTTCGCACATAATTTCTGTCATTTATTTTTTTTTAATTTATTTATTTGGTCGGCCGGATGTGTGAAAGATAAAAAATAATGTGTAGATAATATCATCTAAAGTAATAGCACAAAACCTGCGGAAATGTAGTGATCAGATGAAAAAAGAGGGGCGGTGGATTTTAGTGGCTGTCCTTACCAATTACGATGGACTTTTTACACAGAATCTCACAGATAGATACATTGACCTCTTTCGAGTCTCTCTGACTTGGTAACTGTGAGTTTTTCATGTTCACATTAATAAAGTGGTGCTATTTACACATTTATTTTTATTTTTTATATATTTTTTAATTTTTTATCGTCAGATTAAATAAATTTAATAAAATTAAAAGATAAAAATGTATAAAAAGTTAAAATAAAAAACGTATGTGAATAGTACTGCCCGAGGAGAATATTTAATAAAACCCTAGTTGTTTTTGGCATTCAATAAGCTCACGCCACTCTCACTGACTCACTGGTTTTTGAGGTACTAGAAATCTAAGGGGTACCCACTTCTTTAGGCGACCTTAATGGATTTGATGGCCCTCTGGTCAACTCTCATATGCCCTATATACTTTCGGTAAAAAGGATATTATTGTTTACCAGCAAATGTGTCATTGTTGGTGCTGATTAGTA